CCAAAACTCTTAAAAATAACAGTTGAAAAATATCTCTAAACCAGGGACAGAGGTGCCCTTAAAGGCGTGCAAATGGTTGCAAAGAAGAGAACCAGTTTCTGGGCTTCATTTGTTGTTTGGCTGTGAATAACAAAGATTATATAAAATATCGATATAATAATGTTGATGAAGTACGATGTTATTAATAGAAATATTGTAGTAGAAGAAGTGACCCACCTACGAGATGTTGATGCCATCAGTGGCCCCAGTCCAGTCTGAGTTGAGACCCTTGTTCTAAATGCTCTGGTTAAAGTTTGGTTGAGTTCAGAAACTTCTTTGGGTTAAAATAAGTGTTACTTACTTACTTAGGCGATCTTTGTCGTCATGGTTACAATAACAAACTTGTGGTTTAGACTTGGGGAAGATCCTGGTCACACTTTAAGAAAAACATTGGTAGGAAACAGGAAACAAAATGACATTCAAAAACAATTGAGTTAAATTATTTGAGCACAGTATGAGAATGAAAACAATAATTCAGATTTCTATCCGCACGAAGCTGGCAGACAATCATCTCACACTGCATTTATGTGACCATTTGATGTTTTTCTCTCGAATGTGAAGGCGGATGCTCAGTTTTCACACATTCAATTGCTTTTTGGTGAGAAGTGAAAGGAAACATGGAGGCGATGAAGCACACAATGTATTTTGATAGACCTGGTAGAGACAATACATAACTGTTTAATTTTCCTAGTCAGATTTTTGCAAATGTGTTGCACAGTTTGAATAGTTTCTACTGCCAACAAAGACTGTAAGGTTGTGTTGGATAATGCTGTTATGTCCCAGTTTGTAAAGAGACACATCAGTATTATTTAAGTTTTAAAGGAACTTTCAGTTTGTGCATCGTGATTAGAAACTTGCACGCAAAAATTGATCCGTACTCTTGACATTCCCTCTTTACTCCCACAACTTGGTGCTTGCATGACTGATCAGTTTCTGCCTTTTAAATGATCCATTAGCATTTTAATGTTGAACCATCTCTGCCTCCTCATTATTTGAATAGAAATGAGACAGCTCTTAGTCCGTTAGGGTGTCCAATATTTGAACAGTCTTTCCCTCATATTGTCCCAAATCAAATTATGAATCATTCATTTTTATTATTAAATCATCCATTCAGTATAATTATTTTCTTCCCTTTTTCCGTTAATTTATTTGCTCAAATTGCTTAACGCATTCCTTCAAATTCATAATGTTATCACCTTTATTCTATTTGTCTTTTATTTGAATACTGTTTTATTTTTCTCCTTACATCATTTTATTGATTTTACACCCGTATGATGGACAGTAAACATATCACATATCTGTGATCTATGAATCTATGAATGTGATGAACTGGTCTGAGGACATATGAACAATAACAAGAATACAAACCACCCTTCGCTGCTATCAACTGTCTCATACCCATCAACCCCTCCCAGCCACATTCCCATAACATATTAAAGCTGCAGTAGCTTTTATAAAAAATACTTTTTGTTCCATTTTCTGAAACGTTCACTATATCCTGACAGATAATAATCAGGTTCCTGTGGCTCTTTATTATCGGCATTAGCAAGAATCAACCGGGCCCAAACGAAAACAACTAATCAGATGGAAAAACACTTTAGATGCCACTATAGTAGCACTAGAGGAACCTGATTTATTCACACATTATCTGTCTCATGTTCTACTGTCGTGAAAGTTTCAGCAAATATAACAAAAAGTTATTTTTATAAAAGTTACCTACTGCAGCTTTAAGTAAGAAGGAAAAAGTACATTCAACAGACACTATTGAAACATAAAATAAAACAATAATTCATAATAATTGTAATCCCAGGTGTTGTCAAAGGATTTGTTTGATGTGGTTCAGGATCTCCTTCTCTCCGATGTTCTACAATAACGTAAATGAAGGCAACTAGCAGTTAATTAGCAGTTTCAGTAATTAAAATGTTTTAGTTTGCTGAGAGGGAGGGAGCCAGCAGCATTGAAGGGTGCAGTTAATGTTTAATTTTAGGGAATAAGTTAAAGCTGCAAAGTGGTCAAATGTTCAAAGAAGTCGCTCAGTGGACCAAAAGAAAGATATTATAAAGCTGCTTTCAGTGTCATTGCAAGCAGCAGTGAAAAAGCTCCCATGAAGCCACTGTACCCAAACTTGTTCAGCACCAAACAGCAGGCAGTTAGCAGCTAACCAGTACACACAGTGGAGCATTTAGCACCTAAAGAGTCATATTTCCCTCAGGAGTTGGTGGAAACCAAAACAGAGCAAAGAGAACAGTGAATATTGGACATGCAATCATCTGTTGGACAGAAAAACACGACTACAAATGAATGCTAATGTTGCTATGGATGTGTAAATAAACAACTGTTTGTTAAGTTCAGCTGTACTGATTATATGTCAATATTGTGTGCTGCTGCATCCAAGTGGCCATAAAAATCTATTAAAGCAGCTTTAAGATAAAGCAGCAATCATTGATCTATTAGGGGAACTGCAGAGTCGGGTGTTTCTCTGTGGGTTTGTCCCTACAAGCGACACCTTTTACATTACATTTAAACACTGTTTATAAAAGAATATTTATTATATTGGCTTTAAATTATTTGATAATTATTTGAGTAACTAAATTTAGAGAACAATTTATCTCCTTTTATTAAAAACAAACCTTCTAAATGAAAGACAAAATGAATTACTGGCTTAGTAATACTAAAAGGATTTGTGCTCTTATCTCTGTCATGGCTCTGAATATTATCCTCCTCTGTACACTCACAAAGATCAGCAGTGATCCTAGAGTAATTACTCATTTTCTACTTTTTTTTTAGCCTCTTTTTAATATCAGTGTCTTAATATCGATGCATGACTTTTTTTAATGCCAACACTGGAGTCATTAGCAGGTTATTTTTTGCCAGAATGATGCAGATGGCCAAAGCTGAGGAGGATAACCATGGAAACCTGCAGCAATGAGACTTGGGAGAAAATTGTCTCAAATATGTGGAATAGTCAACGCTCAGTGAGCTTGAATCAAATGATTCAGATTTCCTCTCGAAACAGATGAAAACCAAGTGTAACATGTCTTTTAGCCAATTTTTTGGCCCCAGCTTGACTCTGACATGTGTTTGTAACTGTAATGATGATTCAGTGAATGGCGGCTACTGAGAGTTTCAGTCGTCCTCCAGGCTTAGACCATGTGTTTGCTCCTGGGAGGCTGAGGGTTTGCTCAGCACTCGGTCTTATTCTCTCCCTCTCTCCCTCTCTCCCTCTCTCTCTCCCTCTCCCTCTCCCTCTCCCTCTCCCTCTCTCCCTCTCTCTCTCCCTCTCTCCCTCTCTCTCTGTCTCTCTCTCTCTCTCTCCCTCTCTCTCACTGAGACTTAACAGTGTTTGTTTTTTTTTACCATTGATGGGTTCTTTGTGCCTCTTGTTCGATTTAATTGGCTCTTGTTGACAACATTTTATGGCCAAAACGATACGGACATCTCATGCTTCTGGTCTTAAACCTACAGGATACAGTTATATATTTAAACAATAGTGTGCTTTGGGAAGACCCCTTCTTTTTTTAACATGACTATGCCCCCTCATGCACAAAGTCAGGGGTCTATAGTGTTAGTCTAGTCTTAGTTTTGTTCTTAGATTATTCTAAGATGGAGTTAGCCCTGTTTTATGGTGCTTTATTATATTAGTTTGTATCTTGTATTGTTCTCTCTGCATTTCTGGTTGAGTTCTGTGTTTTTAATTCACATAAGTATGGTTCATTTTGTGTTTTGTATTGTCTGTGTATGTATCTTAAAGGCCTATCTGGGGGCGGGCATTGCAAATTAGCTCAGGCTATGAATGTTGTGGCGTGGGGCATTTGTTCAAGCTACACACGTCTCCCTACACAATTAAACAATCAAATTAATGCAAGTTTGACAATTTCTCAAAAGTAAAGACAAAAAGGGCAAGAGGGCAAAAAAAAGAGAAGAAAATATGACTTTGATATTTGTGGTTTGTTAACAATGTTGTGGAGGGAGTAAAGACAAGAAAATATACAGCAGTAAGGAGATTGTCAGTCGTTTTGGAAACTATCCGACTGACTGAGAAGCAGAAGCACTGTGAGCTTTTACTTGCCGCCATCTTATCCTGTTCAATTGGAAAGATCCTAAACCCTCTCATGCTAGATGGCTGAAGGATGTTATGTTCCATCTAAAACCAGAAAAGATCAAACTTACCCTCAGGGGGAGGAAGGCAGAGTTCAGTAAAATGTGGACCCCATTTACATCTTATTTCACTACTGGGATAACAAACTGGGATGACTCATAGCGCTCTCTCTGTCTCGGAATACAAGCACGCTGTATTTTTTCTTTGTTTTTTGCTTGTTTGTTTTCTCTTCTTCTTTACTATGCATATTTGTGCCATTTCCTTTCCTTATTCTAGTCAGATGTAACCTGGGGATAGGACTGTCAGTAGGACGGGGTGGTGCGATGGATTTGGGGAATGGGATCTTGTGTGATGTATTGCAGAATATTTTGAAAAAGGATGTTTAAAAAAAGAAACACTGTGAGCGCTGCCACTTTAAGAAGCCACAGCGTCTCAGCTCTGCTACATGTCCGTCTGAACAGTTATTACATATAATGTTTGGGTGAGCTGCAGCTCTCGATTAATGTTGTTATTTATATAATCTGACAGTTCTTTTCTTGATTATTCATTTTGTCTATGAAATATTACACAATACTGAAAAATTCCCAGCATTAATGCCCAGTGTAACATCTTAAAATGTTTTGTTCTGTCAGACCAACAGTCCAAAATCCCAAGAGACAAAGAAAATCTGGTTTATCGATTATCAAAATAGCTTATATGTATAATATTTATTAATTGAATGTAGCATCTTTTCTTTATATCAACCTCTTGTTCAAATAATGCTTTGAATAGGCATCCATTGTGGGGGGGAAAGCAGATAGATGACAGAACATATTGAAAAGGAAGACAACAAATGTTGATCTGAATCTCTCTTTCTTTCCAGGTTGAAGAGGAGGAAGAAATCGGGTATGCTGAAGGAACCACGGAAAGTGAGTCAGTGAAAATGATTGATTGATTGTCTGTAAACAGACAGAAAAACAGGCCAAAAGCAAACGCACAAACACTCACCCTGCCCTTCTTCTGTAGGCTGCACAACACAACGCCACATCTTATCACCACAGCCTTTACTAGCAGCTACCTCTGCCTCCTTTCACAGACTAGCAGCCGACTCCATTCAGGTTTTCATCACAGACATATTGTTCCATCTCAGTAAATGCCACACATGTCATGTAACTGTTATTCACCAGATGCCCGAATTAACTTCTCCCTGCAGACCTGTGTGTGTGTGTGTGTGTGTGTGTGTGTGTGTGTGTGTGTGTCCGTTTTCATCAGCGTTGCTCTGCATCAACAGTATTGATTGTGCAATGGAGGGGGAGGAGGGTTCGTCTGTTGATTCACTGTTGCCAGTTAGACCTGATGTTTATCTTGTCAGCTAGCTGTCGCTACGCTAACATCACCCTGCAGCAGGCAGAGGAGGAGGAGGAGGAGGAGGAGGAGGAGGACACCAGTCTGATTAAAAGGAGAACAAACTGTTTAGTCGCTGTCACATTTGCATGATCCATGTTCATAATGTGAAATTCATTTTGAATACAGTGAAAAGCTGGACACTCTCTGAACTCTGAGGTTGGGGGTGGTCACTTTGTATTTCAGTACAAAAAAGTAAAAGCAGATTTCTTTTTAAAAAGCTGCAAAGGACTAAAGATTAGCTGTGACGAGAACACTCACAGTGGCTCCTCTGCCATCTCTGCCCCTCTGGACCAAACAAATAACTTAATGTTATTATTGCATTACAGGTATAATTGTTGTTGCTACTACGGCTATTATATTCATGCCCTCAATTAAAGATGTTATCATAAATTTTTTACCAGTGATTGAGTTAACAAGGCTACAGTTGCTTAACAACAGTGGTGGAGGAAGTATTCAGATCCTTTATTTTAAAAGGTCCAGTGTGTATTTAGGAAGATCAGAAATGGAAAATGATATTAATAGGTATGTTTTATTAGTGAATAATCAGGCTTTTATTATGTATAAAAACAGAGTTTATCCTATAGTATATAGTGTTTTAAAGTTCTTAATCCTTGTGTTAAATGTCATTAAAAGGGCTGACATTGCTGAGATTATTTTATATTTATTTTACTCTCCAAAACCATTTGGCGACCCCCGGAAATTATCTTGCGACCCTCTTGGGGGTCCCGACACCCAGGTTGAGAGCCACAGCTTTAAGTAAAGACTCTACTATCACACTGTAAAAATAATCTAGTAACACCTGTCAAACTGTCCACTGTGATAAAGAAGATTAACAGAAAAAGAATGATTAGATTGTCCTTTTTGAGGTATAACGATTGTTAAGCTCTATTTGAGAGGCCAATCACTCAGCCAGTATGTATCGACTGATAAGTACAAGAAATTGTAGTAAAGAGATGTTCAACAGATGTCCAAGGTGACGAGAGAGGTACAGGTAAATAACGGACAAATTAATACAAAGAGCCACTGGTGACAGACTGTGGTTATAATACATGGACGATATGAACATTTCATGTCATTACGCTCATCACTCACAATATTGTCTGATTGGTGTGTGTGTGTGTGTGTGTGTGTGTGTGTGTGTGTGCAGTGTGCTGCATGTGTGCTGATCTGCACCTCATGTTAAACTCTTTTCTGTCTGTTTTCTGTCTTTTCTTTCCTCTGACAGGTTATTGTACAGAACAGAAGAAACCAAAGGTCATCTTCATGATGGGTACGTACATGTAGTGGAGCGCTCACACACACACACACACACACCTCAGCACAAGTGGAGCCTGCCTCATTAGAGCTGAATACACACACACACACACACACACACACACAATACAGACAGGATAATAATGAGCGGCTGCTGACTGCTGGGCTGGATGTTAGTTTAACTGACCTCATTCACTCTCACACACACACACACACACACACACACACAGAGAGAGAGAGAGAGAGAGAGAGAGAGAGAGAGAGAGAGAGAGAGAGAGAGAGAGAATAGCATAAAGAGACAGAATAGTATCATTCAGTTGATCAGCTGCACATTTCTCTGCATGTTTCAAGAGAACTAAGCTCAGGCTGATGGAAAAGTTGCGTTCAGGAACGTCGCCGGAGGGGAAACCACAGATGTCTGTTCTCAGAGGGTCTCTCTCATTTCAGATGACAGAAGGAAACTTAATGAAGACATGAGAAAGAATTCCAGTGTAAAACTTTGCTTGTACAATTTCACAGCTCAGTTCAACACCGTTCATCACTAGAAAACAACACATCGATTATGATATGAAGAGAATAACAGTAGAGCAAGGTGTAAAACTGAATAAGTGATACACACTACAAGTCCTTAATCAAAAGTTCACTTGCAAAAGAACAGTATTTATACATGAGTCTGACTACATTTTATTAAAAATGTTTAGATTTTATGGTGAAAATGTAATTAAAAGTGTATTTTCTTAAGCACTGTATGTTCACTTATCCTTTACTACTACTAATGGGTGTATTTACTACAATTACCATCATCTACTGTTATTTTAAAGATTATATGTTATGAGATATTTATTATTTTTGGCAGGTTTAATGGTTTTAACCCCCGTTTCCAAACAGTTTATTGGTGTAAACATACTATATATGTGAGGTCTAAATGTAGCCTCTTTAAAATAAATCAGTGTGCAGGTGTTACAATGTTGGTTTTCAGCAACCTTTAAGTAATTTGCATATAATTACACTCTTTTGTCAGTGTGGGGCTATTTTTCTGTTCTCGGATCAGTTGAAGGACAAAATGTTCCTGCAGAGGTTAGGAAGAGGCTCTAAATCTCTGATATTTAAAATAAATTTGTGCCATCAAGCTGAAACAAGGCCGTTTATCAGAAATCCTCTAAAGGTGACATTTAGTCGTGACCATGGTTGATATTTTCTCTGTTTTATGTCATCGTGGATTGAATATCTTTGGGGTTTTTGACTGTTAATGAGACATAACGAGACTTGAATGTTTTATCTTATACTCTAGGTGATTTGGACGGGCCTTTTCTAATTATGAAGACTTGATTAGTGACTTGGGGCACTAATGAGCTTAAAACACGTTGAATGTTACCTTTCAGCATGACTATATAAAGCTGTCAGATAAATGTAGTGTTACGTATCTTTCGCTGTCGTTGTGGCCAGGTTTCTCAAGACTTCCTTTTTAAATAAAGGTTAGATAAAAGGTGCAAAGTGCACAAGTAGGGCGCCCTGGTAGCTCACCTGGTAGAGCTGGCACCCCATGTACCAAAGCTGAGTCCTTGCTGCAGCAGGCCAAGGTTTCGAGTACGACCTGGGGCTCTTTGCTGCATGTCATCCCCTCTTTCTCCGCCCCTTTCCCGTCACTCTACAGCTGCCACTACTGATTAAAAGCAATAAAAACCCCCAAAAATATATATATATACACAAATGATTTCTATATTTAAAACCCCGGAGCTTCTAAATTGTGCTCAGGTGCAGCTTGATTTACGTCCAACCTCTGGAGGCAGAATGTGGTGTGTTCTGTGATCAATTAGTATGCTGCGACAGTACAGTGAGGCAGCATGGCTCTGTCTGCTAATTGAAGACAGGACAGAGAGATGAAGGTTAACGAGAGATCTGGGACACACAGAGTCTCCATTAACCACCGTTATCTTCCCTACCATGGAAAAATACTGAAAGATATGGCCATTAAAAGATTATTGAATCAGTGCTCTCTTTCACACCGCTGTGGTTATGTGTATTAGTGTTAAAAGCAACATGACAAATCCCCACTGATCTGTATTAACAGGTTGTCTGAATATTGGAGAGACAGATGTTGAGTTAGAGAAGGAGCATATAACTGCAGGAAGACGTCAGTTACACAGTGGTAGATGAAGTAGACTAGTACCACGATGTACACGTACTCCATTACAAGTAAAAGTCATTCAGTAAAAGTACAGAAGTATTACAGTGTATTAGGTACTTATTATTATATTTTACATTATTAGATTATCACTGATGAATCAAAGCAGGTCTTCTCAGCTGATAAGAGTTGAACACAGCATGTTTTTTTGTTACCTGCTTTTGACTGTGACTGTTTTACTGTAGTTGTTAGCTGGAGACATCACCCTCAGATTTCTCTTATACCTCGTTCTTCCTGCAGGTTGCTAGTAGCTATACGTGAAACAACTCACAGATTGGCAGCAATACACAAAGTTACTATTATTAACATTTTATTTAGCAATGGATTTGAATCTTTTTAGTTATTGAGGTAATTTTTTTAAAAAGAAAAAATCTGTCAAAAAAAACTTTCCAGGTAGAATACAAGTGAAATCTTACAGATAGAATATGTAACATTTACACATTAAAATGACTATAAACACTAGACTCATGTTATATATGTTGTTCAGTTGTGTACTTACATCATTTCAAATATTTCCAACAATGTTCAGACTCAGAGAAATCTGTCATTTTATTTTGGTAAGGCTGCATTTCACCGGTCACCTGTCAATGGCGTCATATCCCCTTTCTGCATGCATCAGTGCTGTGGTTGTCTGCCAGAAGCTGTCATAAATTGACTACACATTGTATGATTCACTTTTTAGATCTTGGTTGTTTTTAACTGTAGTAGCTCGGCCGTATGTTTAAGCAGCAATAAATAATTATTTCTTGGCCACTTGGGGGCAGTGTAACAAGCACAACTTCTCCCATCTTATCAGCTTATTTATATGTTCAGCAGTCACAGAGCAACATTAACATTCAGCTGAAAGCATTTTTCTGTCAGTCTGCCAGTAAGTCTAGTGTTCACTCTTCTTTTAGCTCTGGAAAATATCTGGCTCTGTTTGCTGAAATACTCCACTACGTTCACCAGCTTCTCACTGACTGTCTGTCTGCTCGAGTTGCATATAGTAGGTTTTTAGAGCTGATTTTTCTGATTACAGCTGCAGCTGAAAATGAGGCTGGTGAGAGCAGTGAGACTGAACCAAAACATTAAAGTAGCATTAAAAATTTAAGCTGCAGAATTGGGTTATGACTTTCTGTGGATTCTTTAACATAGTCATTTGCTCAGCTTTAAAATTGCTGTGTCCCTAACTTCAGCCCAACAAGGACAACCACAAGAAATCCTTGAAAAAGGGTCAAATTATCATATATTTCACTTAATTTAATCGGACAACCCCTCGTTAAAAGGGTAATCAGCAAAGCTTTTTGTTAACACAGCTCTGCGACTGCACAGTTTGAGGAAAGCTGGACAGAATAATGTATAAAAATCACAAAATGGAGTCGGTTTCCTAAATGCTGGCTCTCAAAGGTTCCCAGCTGCTTAAATCCGAGCATCCATGTGTTATAATGTGTGAACCCCTCAATTGTGCTTTATTTATAGCATTTTCAAATTTTCAAGAGCGCTTTGAAAACCCAAGTTACAAAGTGTTTCATAACAAGGAACAACTGCAACAACTAAATTATGAAGAGAAAAAGTAGAAAAGTGACTTTGTGGCTATTTAGGAGAGAAAGTACTTTGTGTATTCAGGGAGGTGCACCAAATAACGTGAATCCTGCCTGTGTGATCATGTTTGAGTTGTCTTATAGGACAGGGTTTTTCTTTCCAGCCATGTCAGACCTGGTGCTGACTTTGACAGCGCAGTCTCAAGACTCCCTGACACAGCTAATATAAAAAGTTAATGTCCCGTCGTCGACTCCCATCTCCTGCTGTCACAAACCGGCTCCACTGCTGCTGATCTGTCAGACTCTTTTATCTAGGGCTCAGAGTCAATTGCTGCCTATCTACCTGACCCCTGAAATGCTGATGGCGGCGAGTATCAGGGCGTCTTTGAGGTATTAAGTAGTAATATGGGGAAAAAGTTCATAGGAGCTCTGGAGTGATGGTGTAAGGTTACATACGTCAAAGTAGATTAATACGCAAATTGAAGTTGAACTATAAAGTAATTTGTACATATTGTTGAAAAGGAGTTCCACCAATACTGAAAATCTATAAAAATGCCCTCGAATTAAGACCTATTCTACTGGTTTCTGCTACATCCATCGTTTTGTTAAATGAGGTCATGAGTATCTGTTATTTTAGAAGTATTTAAGTTCATGATACTGGATATTAAAGTAAAATGTGGTGCTCTATTTGCTAAACTTCCCCCATCTGCCTCCGTGTGCATGCTGCCAATCATTAGCTGAACAGCACATAGAGGTAGAATTATAACCAGTTTAATCACCAGAATATTATGAGCTCTTGTTGCAGTCTCTTATTAAAATTAATAAAACTATAACTAAAGTTTGTACCCGCTCAGGTAGAAAACATTATACATTAATTTATGTTCTCAAAACTGCTGTGATTAAAAGTTGGGTGAGAAAAGTTTTTAGGTGGTTTCACTCTATGTGGGTTTACCCATCCAGTTCCTCCCTGACTATAATAACTAGTGGAAAAGATGAAGCCTTGTTCTGCAGCGGTGCTTCAGAAAAAAGGAGGTGATGGTGCCTGCGGGAAATGCTAATGTGAGGTTTCACTGGTGTCTGTGCTTTCAGCCTTTTTTCTTTTCTCCCTGTTCCCATCTTCTATCCTTCATGTTCTCATCCCACTGCGCTCTCTCACTTCAGTGTTCCGCATTTCTATTTCCCTCCCTGCAGAAAATTACCATTTTTTACCCTTGTTATCGGACTTAGGCCTACATTTACAGTAAATACTGAAAAGAACCGTTGTAGGTGTAAGAGGTAATATCAGTTTGAATTATGTTCTGTATTAATCCTTATTTTCCCGATTGTCAATAATTCCCATTAAAAGACCATAACCAGCAATTAATTAATCTTTCTCTCAATACTTTTTTTAAAAGGCTCAGTAATTTCATATGGCGGCCAATGTAGTGATTTTTCTTTTTTCTGTGTATCTTGCACCAATATAACTATAAAAATGTATTAAACAAATAACTTTATTAAAGAATATTTCAGTTAAATATTTTATAAATACATGTACATTGTAAACTACGGAAGCGTATTGCATTCACTTGAAAATACATTTTTTGGTTTGTTCTTTTATTTGTGTTTTTTGAGTATTTTCCTCTTCTGTAGTAAACCAATTCTAGTTGACGTTGCTGAAAGCTGCTTCTTCTCTCTTACTCTCTGCTGTTCACAACAGTATTGAAAATCATAGCGCACCCTGCTGGATAAAACTTTGCAGTGACTCCAGTGTTTTACCGCAAGCATCTTTTTTTCTGCATTTTATACCAGGGAAAAAAACAGTTTTTATATCGATACATACAGTTTATGGATAATCTTTTAGCAACTATTTTAAGCTATGATTAATAAACATTTAAGGCACAGAGGCACAAGATATATCAGGTCTTGGATACACAGGCTGTACTAGTAGGATACATTTATCATGAATTTTGGTATTTTCAGGGAATTTTCTGGCAAAAAAAACTCTCAAACAAACATATAAATACATTAGATTATATTATAAACTTAATCCCAATGAGGTTTTAACTGTTGCTTAGACTAAATAAGTAACATTGTACAACATCCTGGGCTCCAGCGACTTGCAGGAGATTCCTTTTTTTTTCTTGACATTTTATATACTTTATAGAACAATTATTCAGTTAAACAAATAAAACAATAATAATAATAATTATAATATTATTTATTATAATAATAATAATAATAAAGATCATCATTCGTTGTTTCACTAGCAGTTTAAACAACTTTACTCCACATTTAGGGTCTGATGTCTAGACATTACTATCTTACTTTATCACTTTATCAGTTTATCACTCAAAAATCTTTTTTTTTTTTACATTGGTAAAGAACACCCTCCAAAGTCCTTAGTCTCTTCTAGTGGATGGCGACAGTGGGAAGAAAAAACCTCATCATTGCAGATTCAATCATCTCCTGGGAATCCAGCACTCAATCAATGCAGCCCTCACTCTCGAGAGAATATTTTTGCATTTTCCTTTTAGTTTTGATTTTGCTGCCAGTGATCATCAGCAACATCGGAAACAGGTGACAATAACTGAAGCATCTAAGTTATTGGAGGCCAGGAGCTTGTCTCGTCTGCAGCCCATTTGTCATTTCATAGATTTTCTTTTTTACATAAAAAGTATTACCTGCTGTAGCTTTGAGGTTTTGAAAAGATTTATGTAGCAGGAATGGATTCAAAAATGAAATTACTAGAGAGATTTTTTTCCTCTACATGGTCCTCTGCCCTCTTTGGGTTATTTCCTGCTCCATCTCCATCTAATACAATCCATCTGTCACTTTGGCTCTTATCGAGGACATCGCTGTGACAGAGCTGTTCACACATAGCAGGAGTATTTGGGTTTCTCATATCTAATCCTCCTCCTACCTGAACATCAGTAGAGAAACTAGAAGGTGAGTAGAGTGTGAACACCTGCTAACGCTCACACCTGACGCTCGACAAATGGTCTGACTTGTAAAGCTGTAGTTTTAGATTTTTCTTTCTTTCTTTTTGTCCAAGTTTCTTTCATATTCAGGTTTGAATCTGGGATTCAAGTAACATGAAATATGACACCAAGACCCTTTGGGTAATTACACAACCATCCACAAGATCCATTTTTAAGCATTTAAATAAATGTATGAATTTTGGATGGTCCAACAATGAGCATTTTTATTTCATTCATGTTTAACAATAGCATTAAGATCTTTAGTTTCAATAATAAAGTATTTCATTTCAGACAGGCAAGTGTGAAGATTGGAGTGACTTAAAAGGGATTTAAAGGATTGGATTTGCACATGATCAGCATAGCAATGAAAATGGAGCCGATAATTACGAATAATTTCACCTAATAGTAACATTATAGAAGAGAAGGAGACCCAGGATAGATCCTTGAGGTACACCAGACGTAACTGTGGAAGAGTGATCTTATTATTATTATTATTATGAAGTACACAATGAGTTCTGATGAACAAATCAGAATGAAACCATGCCACCAATTAGCGTAGATACTTATTATCTAACAATGAAGGCAGCATCATAACAGACCATGATTAACCGTATCAAATACTGCACTGAGATCTGGCAGTAAAATATTGAAGTTTGGTCAAGAGTCAAAATGGGCACACTGTTACCTATCTGTCAGCTTAATTTCAGCCCAAACAGATTGTTTGTCAGATGTTTTCTGATTAAATCATGCAAATTTATTCATGTGAAAGGAGTCACTTGTATTGAACCTGCAGAGGATTATCACCTGAATCTGCAGCTCCCCTTAGCAACTAGCTGTGAACATAGTGAAGCATTTAGCAACTAAAAAGCCAGATTTCTCTGCAGTTAGTAGAGACCAAAAGTTAAAAAAAAGAGGTGGCCAGTGTTGGATGTGTAAATAATCAAGTGTTTGGCAACATGTTTGCTTTATCAACTTGAAAATGTGATGAAATGTCAGTGTTTAGTTCACAACACCACGCAAGTGGACAAAATAAATTAGTTATTTAAGTCAAATTGAAAACATTTGATGAGCACAAAAAAAAAATTCTGTGTAGATGGTAAATAAGTAAATACATTTTATGCATTTAATATTTAATATAGTATAAAACAGCACAGAAAACTTTCAAGTATTCCATGTTTAAATACTCTCAAGGCCAGTTAATCTCAATTTCAAATGGTCTCAGAGCGAGAATACTATACCACAGAGCTAGTTTACACAGCAGAATTTGACCCGACTCACTCCACTAACAAGCGGCTCGGGGCTTTTGCTTCAGCCCTGGTGGGTCATTATTTTACCTCCTGGCAGAGGTGTCAAGCAGCAGAGGAATACTTCTAACGAGCAGGCAGGACGGGGGGCCACGTTTTGAGGCTGGGGAAATATATTAAGTCAGTGAATATGTGCCGAATGTACAATGAATGAATCCATAACCGTTCTTCAATGTCTTATGGACCTTTTCTGACGGTCACGGTTGTCTCTGGGCGGACCGAGCCCCACTCATATCTGTCCGTGCCCATGAGGACAATAGTTTCTGAACACTCCAGGAGAATGCTGATGAATGTGAAGCACATCCTGAGTTTTTATTACTGGGCTGAAGGCTGGTTATGATAGATCACCACTTCCTCCTGGTGCCTCACACAGCTTCATGGTCACGTAATACATTTAACCTACGACAAAAGACCTACAGGCCTCACAGCACAGCAGTGACAGCAGATAGACGACTGCTGAGACGGCTGAAATATTTTGGAATATTTTAGAAGGAAATTTAATTACTAAATGTTGGCTGACTAGTAAAACTGTGTTTTTCTTCTGTGTTCTTCGCTGCCTGCTCTTTTACTTCTATCTTTGTGAGGACCAGTTTGAATTTGAGTCTGGAAAGTGAGGACTTTTTGCTTTAGGGTAAAGACAGGATTAAGATTTAGGTTAGGGTTATGTTACGTTATTGTATGTTCTAGAGCTGCAACTAACAATTATATTTATTGTTGATTAATCAATTAAAAAAGGTCTATTGTGAAACATTTAGGCAGAAATGGAATATAATATTTACATGTATGTTTTCATTAGTGTATAATCACCTAAAAATGAGCATTGTTGTTTGTCTTGTTTTCCGGTATTCCAGAAGGGACAAACCAAACACTGGCTCCAGATAGGGCCTTTCGTATTTTAAGAGAGTTTGGCTGTTGCATGCTTGGTACGGCAGGGTGAGGAAAGGGGGTTGAAACCCGGAACTACACGACTAAATGCCACTAAATCTTATCAGATTAGGCTTGAAAATATCTAGTTTGCATCCCATCATGTGTTGTTCAACCTGAAATCAAGTGTGTTCAGTGCAGGGAGATGCTATAATTGTTGAATATGGGAAAAACAACAGACTCTCCTCATAGACATTCATAGTAAAGCACTCTGTAGTTCACAAAGTGTCACATGATGCAGTTGAGCTACACACAGCTACTTTTTAACAATTTCATTTAAGGCTGCAACTAATGAATAATTTCATTATGGATTAATCTGCTGATTATTTTCTGCATTACCAACCAACTGGAACCAATTTACAACAACTTTCTATCAATTAATCAACTAATCATTTCTGCTCTAATTGTATTCACTGTCATTTAGTTTAATCTAATCTTAGATCAAATTTTATAAGATCTTCATTATGTTCTGTTTGTAAAATCTTAATTTGTAAAGTAAATTGTAACTAAAGCTGTAAAATAACTGTAGTCCCTCCAATTTGTACTGAAGTACAGTGAAGTCACCAACGATTAGGGTTGAGGTTAGGTGCTAGAGAAAGTATCATGTCAATGGGAGGACCTCACAAGTATACACTACCAGTGTGTGTGATGTCCTCATCTGTGATAAGCTGCCTCTCAGCCCCCGGCAATGAATCAGACTTGTGATGTGCATGCACACACAAACAAACACACACACTCTATTTCCTGTTGCCTCCTTCTTTCATGCTCTTCTTTCACCTCTTCAATTTCTCTCCTCGCCATCGTCGCTTCACTTTGTATTCTGCCTCAGTGATTACCTGTCTGCCAGGATGGACTGACCCCTCCTTGTCTATCTCTGTGTGTGTGTGTGTGTGTGTGTGTGTGTGTGTGTGTGTGTGTGTGTGTGTGTGTGTGTGTTCTCAGGTGGTCCTGGCTCAGGGAAATCTCTGCAGTGTGAGCGGATGGAGGAGAGGTTCGGCCTGCGACGCGTCACCCCGGGTGACCTGCTGTGTGCCGAGCTGCAGTCTAACAGCGTCAGAGGGCGTCACCTGCGGGACGTCCTGGAGAGAGGAGAGCAGCTGCCCGAGGTCAGTGTGGTACTTTCACTGCTGCTATCAAGGAATAGGAGCGAATATTATAAACACAGGAATCTCCAAAAAGTTTATATAATGGTCACAAGTTTTACTTATTTCAACTTTTCTGTCAGTAAGGCGTTGAAAATGGCTCTAAATCCTACACACAGGAGGTTTGGTCGCAGTCGCTATGGGAATAAAGACAGTTAAAATGAGGCAAATCAGAGCGACATCAAATTAAAACACTGTGAGAACAAAACATTACGCCATAGTTGCTGAATTCCTTCAAAACTGACCCAGAATTCATAAGAAAACCAATTTAAATTGCACACTGCGTTGTCAGTTTTGTAAAAACCGTCATCTTTAGAGGCACACAACATGAATTTTAAGCTCTGATTGACTGTGATTCGGGTGTTTATTGCCAAAATGCACCTTCAAAATTTGTATGTATACATCCACGTATCTTTGACTTTTTGCCAGAAAAACACGATACCTTCAAATGCAAAGTATACAAGGACAGGATACTAAGTACAAGCAGCGTTTGCAAATTGGTTGAACATGAAACGACAGAATAAAGATGTCACAGAACCTCCCACGCCGTTTGATTGACGGCTGATCTCGAGGAAACATGACAGCATTGTGCAGTAGACTGAGCCAACAAAATAACTCCAAAAACAAGATCTTACAGATTATTATTTCATAAAGACAGACAGCTGAAGACGGAGTTCAGTTAGAGAATGCAGACTGTCAAATCCCTCCTGAAAAATGTAACGCCACAGCTCTCAGGCTGAGAAAATACTGATATACTACATGACGCGTTTTCCTGCTAACGGTCTAATGAAATAAATAGAAGAGGGAGCGGCTGAAATATTATACAGTCAAAAGTGCTCAAAATGGCTTTCATAGAGATTGCACATTTATAAACACACTGTACCAGACATAGGCTGCCTGAGCCTATACTGGAACCAGCTACAGTAATTCAGTGACAGAGTGTGTAAACCAGATAAATTATCTACAACTCCAAACACTCTCAGAGGAACACACATTTTCTGAGGAGAAGTAGACATGTTCATCAGGGCAGAAAGTTGACTTTAACCAACATGTTGTTTATGGGCGATGTACTTAGGGGGAACAGTGAAGATCATTAAAATTCACTGTGGTTGTGGTAACAAGCTCATAATATAGTGGAAACTGACACTACTTTCATAATGACAATCCTCTATCACGAAAGTAAACATACAGTTTGACAATTCTCTATAATACTGTAGTTAATATGAGTGGGGTATTTATGTAACATATAATAATAATAATAATAATATCCACACAGAACTGAGGGAGTCATTCATTGTTAAAGATCCTCTTCAGACCATGTTTTAAGCGGTGGTGGAAGAAGTACTCATATTATATTTAATACGGCTCTGTCAAAGTAAAAGTCCTATATTCAAGATTTTACTTCAGAAAAAGGGAAAAGTATTAACAGCAACTTAAAGTATTAAAGTAAAAGTACTTGTTAGGCAAAATGGTCCCTTTTCAGAGTTATATTTTTATATTACTGGAATATTATTACTGATGCTTCATCATGTAAGCAGCATTTTAATGTTACAGCTGTTGGAGGTGGAGCACATTTCAACTACGTTGTATACTATTGGATAGTTCAATCCATAGCACAGTTTCATATGTCATAAACTATTATATATTTTGTTTGTGAAATCTTGAACCGTCAGATAAACCTGGTGGAGTCATAAGTACAATATTTCCCTCTTAAATGTAGTAGAGTTGAAGCATAAGACAGCATACAGGTAAAATACTACTACTATAAGTAAAGAAAAAGTACCTCAGATTTGTTCTTAAAGGTCCAGTGTGTAACATTTAGGAGGATCTAATGGCAGAAAGGGAATATCATATTCATAGGTGTGTTTTCATTAGTGTATAATAACCTGGAAATTAAAATAGTTGTGTTTCCGTTACCTTAGAGCGAGCCGCTCTACAGAGGGAGCAAGGTCCTCCTTTATGGATTAGCTGTATTCAAATGGTTGTAATGTGCAACTTAACCAATAGATGCCACTAAATCCCACACACTGACTCTTTAATGGACAGAAGATGAACAACATTATAGTTGTAAGTAGGTCTGGTGATATATATTTTTCTAAAACCAGCAATAGATTGATGTATTGTCTGTGGCCAACATCAGCCCAACGAACTAGCCACGCTAGCTCCCGCAGGTTATCGCCTACAACCGCGTCTATCCTATTTCCTGTCTCACCTGGGGTTTTTTTATGTACAAATAATAATGTGTGTGGACCATGGTTACATATAGGCTTTAATATTAATAATAATAGTGTGAAATCATTTGATAAGCCAGCTGGTAACAAAGATCATATAGTTCATCAGCTCTGTTCCGTTTCCTCCTGCAAATTACGAAGGAGCACACAAATATCTTACTACCCACCTTCCAGTGAAATATTAATAGCTTCCGAAGGGGACTTAAATCACATTATAAATGCACTGTGGCAGGTTGAGGTGAGAAATATTTAGCTTCCTGGCCTCATTTTCAGCATTCGCATCTCTCATCACGACTGTGCAGACTATGAACAGTGATGCATTTTGCTGCCGGTGATTAATAATAATCCTCAGCGACATACCGGAGATGGTCGGGGAGCTTTTTAATTGAAAGGCACGGTCCAAGAGTCTGTGACATTTTCCATCAAAACACAACTTACCTGTCACTCACACACACACACTGTCAAACCCCGTCCTCAAATGTTCAAAAGGTGTGCATGTTTGTGTTCAGGTAGCTGGTTGTTTGGATATCACAAATATTGGTTGGACTCAACAGTGGCGGACTCAGGCGGTTTGTTTCTGGTGAAAAAGCTCAGTCAGGGTTAGAATTGGCACCCTAGAGGGCATTTTACCATGTTTTCTCCACTGGAAGGGCACTTTGTGTTTTGTCCACTGGAAAAAGGATAAGAAAATATGGCACCAGCTTTATTGATCAAGTCATTTATCAAACAAAAAAAACTAACTTTTAGTTCTTCCAGCTTCTCAAATGTGAGAATTTGCTGCTTTTCAATAATTATAAACGTTTTACTGTTGGTCAGACTAAACAAGCGATTTTCAGATCTATATCTAGATACTGTGGTGGGCATTTATCACAATTTTAAGGCTGCAACTATAAATCATTTTTTCATTATTGATTTATCTGCTTGATTTATCATTTTGCCTCTAAAATATATGAAAATATCTATAAATGAATACTTTTCAAACAAACAGCTCAAAAGCTACAGATTTAAATTTAAATTTATTATGTTTTGATCGACTAATGTATTAATCAAACAAATTGTTGCAGCTCTCTGACCTTTTTACAGACTTAAAACGTTAAGTGATTAATTTAAATTGACAAATCGATCAATAATGATTTAATACAATGATATTTCTTTGTATATTCGCAAGGGATTGATGAGGTTGTTCAACAGCAGTGACTCAATGAATATGTCCACACACACTGAGATTTCTTGCCTCAAAACACACCAAGACTTGTAAAACCGTCCATGTAAAGTATTAGACACTCCCACCCAACCTGAGCAAACATTGTGCTGATGTCAACACATTTCTGCCACGAAAACTTAAAACATCATCCTGGAGCCCAAAAGAGAAACAAGATTTGTGATGTATTCCTCCACTAGAGCCTCCTGCTGCTGGGTTTCTTACTCCTCTCTATCGTGACAATGTGAAGGTAGTCTGCAGGTAGTCTGCAGCAAAAGGTAAATAAAAGTCACAGGTGATTTAATGCCTTTGCAGGGCCACTCTGACAGTGGTTGTTACTCATGTACCTTCTCTGCACACTTTTTCTGAGCTGATCTCAGGAGCAGGCACTCTTCAAGTTGCGAGACTGCGTCTATCGATCGAACTACAGTGTTGAAAGAAAACCAGTGAGTGTGAACAAAATTACCCAAAAGAAGACAGAACAGTACAGAATGACACAAAACAGGGGTTCAATGGATTACCTGCTTCATTTTAACCTGCAGCAACTGTTAGATTGTCTGGTTGTCAATAGAGGACAGAAAGTTTAAATCCATCAACTGGTAAATTTTATGTGCATCAGTGGAGAGAGAGAGAGAGAGAGAGAGAGAGAGAGAGAGAGAGAGAGATAAAAGACTGAGAACACAGCTGCTACAAGGAGCCTTTAATGTGAAATTAAAGATAAAACAACGATTGTAGGTTTTACCAGGGCTGCACAGTTAATCGAAATATTATCGAAATCACAGTAAGTGCAATATGTAAATCACAGAAGCTGCAATTTTCTGATAAAGGTAAAAATGTGTGACAAGACAGCGTAATAATGTAGTACTTTACTACTGAAGAGGCGCCCTGACCTACAAAGCTTGTTCTCCAGATTTAAGAAAAGTCTGGTACATGACTTCCCAAGTTCACATATTATACAGAAACATATCCATCAAACTCTTTCACTCCTCCCTCAGAGTGTCTGAGTCATTAGTCAATAAACTGGTGCTTGTAATGTCTTCGGTTAATGTGCAACATACTGGATTATTCTTGGATCATTCCTTGTAATTATTTATAATTTCTGCAAAACCACAATCTTTAAAAACTCACTATTACTCATTTCTGTCGTTCACATACTGTGGCATACATTACTTTGTATATATTAGCATATATTCTATTATTATAAAGGTACATAGGCTCTCATTGCATTTCTTATATTTCTATTTTTATTTTGTTTTTACTTATATGTATATACCTCTATATACATTTCTATTCTATATATATTGTGTTAGATTGTAATATAATAAGTATTAGAAGAAGAAGATATACTTTATTAATCCCCTATTGGGGAAATTGTTCTTTTCACTCTTATTTTAAATACACACTTCATGCACTTGTGGACATGCAACAGAGAAAGAGAGCTGGTGGAGTGATGGGTTATGTTGATTTATGTCAGTTTTCTTGGTATTTAGTGAGGAATACAGGCTCGTTTGTTCTGTTGATCTTTACTGATACTCGTCACATTGTCATTTCCCTGTTTGAGGGTGAAATATGGATTCTTCAGTAGGCTCGAGGCCAAATTTAAAGGCAGCTGTTCTTTATCAGTCGGGAGAAAATGCTCTCTGTGTATCCGAGTGTACACGGTCACGTTAATTCATCGGTCAATCCATTTAAACCAATCCAGCTATTGAGTCATTTTTGTTAAATGTGGTTTGGTTGCAAGGCGTAAATAAATCACCTTTTTAGAAGTCTGTACGTCTGCCTCCCACCACCTTCCTAGACCCTCACATGGCACACATCAGTTCAGTGAAGGTGCTCCCGCCTTCTACCAAATAAACAGTATAAATAATATACAGAATAAAAACAGCTCACAGTGACAACTGTGGAAAGAAATATCAAATGTGATTTTCCTAGATGTATTTTTTCCCCAAACTAAATTCAGCTCCCCTCCATTGTATAACTGTAGCAGCAGATATCTGGAAACCTGCTCAAACAAAGCTAAAATCTGCATGTCTAGATAGAACTATAAGAAAATGTGCTTTTCAGTGAGTTGGTATAATTTCTGTTTTAGGGTGTTTTTCTCCTTTTCAGCTCCTGATAAACAATAGAAAACATAAAGTCTAAATGTGAGACATTCAGGCTTTCCATCGTCTTTTAGAAGTGATGCACTGGGGCTCTCCGGCAGCTCACCTGGTGGAGCGCCAGGGTTGGTTTCCAGCCCTCCTGCCTCTCTCCAACTGTCACTATCTAAAGTAAAGCAGAAATGCCAAGAAATTATTACTATTTTTTTTATTTAAAGTTATGTATTCAACAGATCTGGAGGCAATATAAAAAGATTTACTTCAACTTCCTGTGGAGAAACCCAATGGCTTTCAAGCAAGGCTCAGCTGTCTAAGCTTCTTACAGCACATTGAGGTCATCATGTCCCATGTGTTCACTAACATAGTCGCTGCTAAACGCTTACTTTTGTGTTGTGTGAGGGAGATAGTTATGGAGCGAGAGAGTGACAGTGATTTAACGGAGGATGAATAATCCCACGCTGGGATTACTGAAGAGCACATTACACACACAAAAAAACAAACTGTTAATACAAAATCACACCCACATCAGAGCTAAGAGTTTGATCTGAAAGTGAGATAAAATGCTGTGTTGTGGGGCTCACCGCTGAGTGGTGGTAAAATGTTACTGTACTGTTGCTTGGCAACACAGAAAGTGCAATTTAATGTTCTCTGTGAACTGTAATCCCTCCATAGATCGTCAGCTTCCTGTCTGGGCACATATATAGAGTACATTTAATCAACTATTCAATTTCCATTTATCTGACAGTTGTAGTTACTTCTCAGATTAAGATTTTACTTAAAATGATTTGTATAGGGGCAAGTAAAAGCTAAATTTATGTTTATTTAATAAAGATTATCAAATAACAACAAGGACCCTCTTTGGTTTATGGAAGTGAGATGCTGTCACCTCGTCTTATGGCACTCCAGCAACGTATTTCAGAAACTTGACGTGCCTTTGAGAAACAAAACTGTGTTTAATTCTCTTTTGCCTGTTGCCAGATGGTAGATTCACTAGCCAGACGTGGCATTTTACTATTTAACTTGCCCCGGGCAAGTGGGCAATTCTTATTCTCTAGTTGGAGCCATTTGTCACATTTCAGTTCCGTAAAAAGAGACATTTGTCCTCTAAACTTTATATTTAAATTAGAAGTCAAAAATTGTAAATCTCTCCAAGAGAAAAGTTCAGAAAGTGAAAATAATTTTGCATCTTCATTCCACGTTTATAATCATATTTATCTTGTTACCCTAGGTTGGGAACCACTGGATAAGACTACCATACTGTATACGAAGTAGTTACCTCCACTTATTCCATCTAATACAGTTAAATGCTACATATGATGCATCAGTAATAACGAGTTTTACTTTTAAGGCTTGACTTTAAGGCTTCACTCTCAGCTGCATATTCTGAGTAGAAGCCAAATACTTAATATTTAATGTGTTAAAATACCAAAAAGTAGTGGATTGCTTATTTTTCTGTGGGTGGGTGCTGCATATGATTCGATGCTCTGGCAGTTCAGGGTCTCAGCCCGGGTGTAGAGTTGGTCATGAATACTCAGTTAAGAACATTTCTGGCTTTAAACAAGGTCATGTCATCTAAAGATGTAAACTACTTCCTCCCTGTTCTTTATTACTGCAAGTTTTTCTACAGAAGGTCAACATACCAGAAAATACTTCAGTCTGTGAAGGACTTAACATGAGCAGAGTCAGTCAAGCATCAGTGTTAATCACGATGCTCAGCGACGTATCGATTGGAGAATCTTGACCTTTGACAACAGAACGGTATCTGAGCGATAAAGAGGTTTGAACCACAATCAAAATGTTTTTACTTTTGGATACAAAAACACAGAGTGTGAAAACATCACTGCTCCCCAGCTACACATCCAATTATCATCAGTTTTTGGCTTTGTTAAAAAAAAAAAAAAAAAAGCATGTTTCCCTCTTTTATCTTACTCCGTGTTTCTTGTCCGTCTGAACTATCAAATAAGGCAAATCACCCACGAGGTGCATACGTTCAACACATCTCGTGTACAATGCAGGGAGTATACACTCGGTTGCTATGTTATTAGTTACACCAAGCTACAACTAATGCAGTCGAATACAGCAGTCCTGCAATAAATCCTCCCCTCAAGAAGGATATAATGTCCCGTTTTTGATTAAACCGTTTTAGAAGAGGCGTTGATTCAACTTTATGGTCATTTTGGGGGCCGCAGTTTGGGGTGCTGTTGAACCGCACGTCATTAGACTGAGAAGTGTTTCTAATATCTACTCTACCCTGGCTGATGGAAATGGGGTGGGCACATCATTACAAACAGATATAATCTTTATGAGGGTGGGATTTATCGCAGGCCTGTTGTATTAGAGAGCTTTATAGTTTTAGCTAACTGTACTTAATAAACTTGCACCTGAGAGTACGACGTAGTGAACTGACATGGATAAAACCCAGCAATCCACTTGATACGCAGCAATTTAACACATCAGACACTCTATGTAAAAGGTATGTAGCGCTGAAGAGCATCAGATACATGTGGATTAGTTGAGAGTGGAACAGGATGTGCAATGTAATTATGATATGAAGAATAGCACGCTATAGAAAGCTGTTACATAAACCCATTTCTGTGAGTATAATTATTACTCTAATGTCTGGCTGAATATAAAGTGTGTGTGTACAGGGACATACAGCAGCAACAATCAATAATGTTATGCCACAAAAGCAATAAAGCCCGAGCAGCTGCAGCAGCATAAGAGCAAAGTTAGCGTAATTAGCAGACGCCAAGACAACCGCAAGGAGACTTTAGTGAGCAATAATCCACACAAACAATGAGTAAACAGAGCAAAGACCCTGCAAACGCTTACCAGAGCTTGGTGAAGCATTTCACCTTTAAGGCCTTTAGAAAGTGTCGTTCCAGGCTGAAGTGGCCTTTGAGACGGACAGCAACAAGGAGCGACTCAGAGACGAAGAAGATTGGATGGAGCATCGCAGCTTTATATAGGCGGGCTCATTGCAGAGGGTGCGCTTGATTTGTCTTCCAATGAGTAGAGTGTGTCACATAGTAGCAAGATGTCTGCCTGAACTGGCTTGCTGGGATAAACACGTGAGAATAAATGAAGACTCTATTCTTGGTGTCAGTTTAAGCTTGTACAAATAAGTGTATTTAAGACATTGTCCATGTAATCTAGTAAACCTCTCAATAAACACTTATTTTATTAACCTTAACCTGTCTAATATTTGCTGACACTATGCCAGAGTTGTCAGATTACATTAAAATATTAGATTTAATGTTATTATTATTAGATTTAATTAGGTTAAATTATTTCAATTTATGTACAGTTTTATCTGTTTTAATATTCAGGCCTGCTTTTGACCTACATACAGTATATAAATCCATCTATAACTGCAACCACATATGCTTGGATATACTGAGTGCGAGTTATTTATGTACAGTAAACGAGATATCAGTTCAAACCTATACTGATTAACCCTCAACGGGGGCTGTAGGAGAAAAATTAGCTGCTCCTGACGAAACCCACCACTCCTCCAACTCATTATGTTGCCTTCAAGTACCCATTACGAACAGTTAACACCACTCACTACACATGTGACGCACATGTAGCATCTTGATTATGGTCCAGTCTTTGACTTATACAAGTGTGATGTAAAAACGTGAAGCTTCCAGCAGGAAAACATTTGCATATTCATAGATTCTGGAATTGGGAAAAAAAAAACATCATACAGTTTGTATATATGTTTTAATTTATGTCTGTAATTTATCAATCAAAAATGTCAGACAAAACATGCAATGTAAAGATGTGTGATGGGCAATCAACATTAATCAACAGATTAAACAATGATGAAAATAACTATTATTACAGCTAAATCAGCCGTTTGCAGATGTTTTCAATGCAACACAAGTTTATTTATCATGTTAGCACAACTTTAAACATAAAAAAACCTCTTACAAATACATTTTGAGATAAGGCAGTGCTCTTCACAGGAAATACTTCAAGATTCAAGAACTTTATTGTCACTGTGATGTGCAAGCACAATGAAACTGAAATTGTATCAGCCTCAAATGGTGCTTTTGTATTCAAACATATTTATGAAGCAATAAGAAGTACGGAATCAGAGAGTTAACAAAGAAATACAACTAACAATGGTGCAAAGGCATTCAGCTGCAAGACTACGAGACACATTCTAAGGCTCATATTTCAGTTGATATTGTGCATTAGTTAAGCTTATTGCTAAACAAATGTGCTGTTAATTGACACGTAATCAACCTGAAGCTTTTGGGGGGCCCTGGCAGTTTGTTTTTGGTTGCTAATTCATCCTGTATGTATACGTAAGGCGTCAAACACATGCAAATGCCTGCCTTCTTTTGTTGTTGTGGTTTGTATGGTAGTTAATGCTTGTGCTGTGTGTGTGTTTGATGTCCAGGACACACTGCTGGAGCTGCTGTGTGATGCCGTGGCGTTGTCGGTACGGCAGGGGAAAGGTCTTGTGATCAGCGGCTTCCCCAGAGACCTGAGACGGGCAGAGGAGTACGAGGCCAAGGTCGGAGCACCACGCTGAGAGCAGACGTGTGATCAGAAACATGAATAAAAGAAACATAACTTTTAAATGAGAGCAAAGTGAAGAGAGAAGGCAGAAAGACAAACAACACTTATTTGATTTTGAATCATGTTTAACATGTAGTACTGACATCAGTGTGAGAAATGTTAATTAAATATGACTCATTGTGCAAATGCAGGAGTAAAAAACAAAGTCGAGATAATGGAAGAAAAATGTGTGACAAACAGAAATGACGCGTTCAGAATGACAATGTTTCGTTTGCACAAAAGCAACAAATGGAAGAAAAATGTCATTTTTGGACAGATGCAGAGTGATTTATTCAGATACACTGACGGGGCAACAGTACAGTGACGTACAGTCTAAAGTAAAATGGAAGATGGAGCCTGAGGTTCACTGTCGTCAGCTGGACTTGCTGCTGACTTTCCTTGTCCTGTGTTTTGTTTGTCAGGTGGGGGAACCCAGCGCTGTGTTTCTGCTGAGCTGCTCAGCAGACACCATGTCCGGCCGCCTGCAGTGCCGTGGCAGATCCGCCACCACCTCAGACAGAGACGGTGTCCTGCACAGGAGGGCTGAGAGCTTCTGCAGCGACAGCCAGGCAGTGGCATCTCATTACGAAGGCAAGAGGCTTCTGCACACGGTAAGGTTGTTTTTTTTATCATCTTTTGCGTGTGTGCCTGTCTGTGTAGCTGCCAGGGTGAGGGGTTCAATACCCACTGATGGTAACTGCCCTCAAATGAGAATTAGCTTATAAATTTGTTAATATTTAAAAGCAACTACATTTCTTCCCGTGTTTTTGTGTTTATGGCAAAATAGTTGCACGTACAGATTTTTAAATAAAATATAGGACAGTGATGGACACACAGTACAAGTGTTCAAAATACAATTGAGGACATTTAAGTGGGATTTTAGTCATTCTTATTGTTGAGCCCTGAACATACAAGAAAGATCTTTGTAATAGCCAGTTTGCCTTCTTTTCCAGTCGTTTAAGACAAAGTTATTTAACTTTAAAACTTCAAAAGTTTAACAACTACAGCTTTCAATCATTTCTACAAGAGAGATGTTTACTTTAGAACAGTGGTTCCCGATCTTGGTGTCAGGCACTAGGGGACGCCAAAGCTTCACGGGGGGCCACAAGGCCTTCTTGAGTTTAGGAGGTGTAAGAAAAGTTTAAAAATATATACAGTAGGCCTGTATATCATCGTCCTGATATTTAAAAAGTATGCCGTCATAACAACCAAAGCGCTAATAAAGCAAGTGTCAGGGTCAAGAAAACACAGAATTTGTCAAGAAAGAAGCTTATTAAGTACATTTGATTGTTAGCAAATAAATACAAACATAATACAGACAGAGAATTGTGTTAAAAGTTCCTAAAAATATCAGGAAAACTCATCTCTGATGCAATATTCACAGGAAAAAATCTGCTAAAAGAAATTACAGTTGAATAGTGGTTCTGTGCTGTTTTTATTATGCATTGAATATAATATGAAATATGAATAAAATATGTAATTTAATTAGGGGTTGACAGTTTAGTCAATAATAGAAAAGAGGGCTGGGAACCAGTGTTAAAATATTTTTGGAGCAGTTGGCTGGATTTTAAGCACAGGGGCTAACTCGCTGTGTGTTTGGTGCTTCTACTCTGACGTCTTCACTGACACGACGGTCAGTAGATAATCACAGAATCTCTGTTTGGGAGTGAACTGTCCTCTTAAAATGAGCTATTTGAACATTTAAATGCCACATCAGGTGCTGAGTGTGTGTGTGTGTGTGTGTGTGTGCGCGCATGTGAGTGCTTAAATGCCACAACAGATATTGAGGTCATCCATCTGCTGCGAGATTGCACTGCAGCAGACTGATGTCCTCGAGTGCACGTGGAGACACTGATGGTTTCTGAAAGGCCTCGTCTCAGCCAGTTTGTCTCCGTCTGTAGATCGACGCTGAGAGGTCGCCAGAAGAAGTGTTCGCCCAGATCTGCCAGGCGATGGAGACCTTCTGATTTCTACAATCTCCTCCACACTGACCTCCCCCCCCCCCGCCCAGCCCCCCTCGACCTCACCCCAACTGGTCCACCTGTGAAGACCTTCTCTCTCTCTCTCTCTCTCTCCCTCCCTCCCTCTCCCCGCTGTATCACTCCAAGGAGACTCACCCACCTACCCTCACACCTGCACCAGACATATGCTCATTGAACTCCAGTGGTATGCATGTCCCCAAACACTCCCAGCAATCAGTGAAACCTCTTTTCTGCTTTTGACACTGATGAAGCGCCTGGTTGTCACATTCTGCTTCACCTTACTTGCATTGTCTCTCTCTTACATTGACCTCAATATATGCTGCCAACTGCCGGACCGAGGCAAATAACTGTACTGAGAAAATAGCATTCGCTGCTGTGAGTGAGAGCATGTTTCTAGCTGAATGTGAAATCTCTCTGCCATCCCCCGCCCCCCTCCCAACCCCCACCCCCGAGGAGCTGAGAGAGGGTTCCCGCCACGCTAGAAAGTGGAAATGTCAGTGTGTGGTCATGCTCTCATGCACAGCATCATGTTTTATATTGTAACAAGCATGCAAGAATTACAATCAAGCTTAACTGCCTTTTGTGCATTAAATAAAAAGCAGAAAAGAATTAAGAGTATCAAAGAATATCGCATTTGTATGTTTCCAAGCTCATCGTGCAGGTGCTTGTTTGAGTCTGGTATTTAACATTCAATAAAGCCAGTGCATTTGCTAAATGGAGGATTTCTGAGTGTGTGCTTTGGTGTTTTGTGTGTGTGTGTGTGTGTGTGTGTGTGTGGACAGGCAGTGGTTACAGCTGATCTGATAGCCCCATCTGCTGGTGAGAAGATCACAACAACAAAAGGCGGCGAAATTATGAAAGATAACCAAAGGGGGGTTTAAAGGGGGTTCCACATTAAAATGCACAGACACAGAATTTTTGTATCCACCTTTGATACAGAACGTGGATCCAACATCAGCAAAATGACCTTTAAGTGAAGCACTCGATGTGTCAGGGAGTGTCTGAAGTGACCACCAAAGGTCACATTTCCGGAGTATAAATGGAAAGAAACAAATAAAAAGGAACATGAACATTTTCACATCTGCTTGACAGCACCTGAAGGATAATACATTGCTATAGGTAAATCATTTTTACACTGTTATCTGAAAAAGCCACAAAAGCACAAAAAAACAGCATTTCATTATTTTTAGCAGGTAGAAGAATTGATAAATCCTTTATTCTGCTAATAAAAGGAATTTGATTATTCTGGGTTAATACAGTTTCAGTGAATTTTAAAGTTATGGAGAACGGATAATACTACATAAAGTTGCAACACTTTCTAACAATATGACTTTTCACAGATATGAAGATGTATAACATTTAGTCAAAGATCTTTTAATTTTTTGAAGGCTTTAATTATTTAACACTGATCCTCGAGGCCGCTTTAAAATTGCATTAAAGCCACTTAATACAATGATCATAGTATTAATCTTAATTAACAGAAAATGTATCAACAGCTTTGATTTACAGTTACGTATCTTTAAGAGTCAAACATTGTCCTGCTTTTCTGTTTCACATCCTCATGTTAACGGAGTATCGTTGGATTTTAGCCCGTTAGTTGGAAAAAAACAAGCAAATTAAAGCGTCATGTTGAGCTCTGAGAATTAGCATTTTTTACTTTTCTATTTAATTTTCAATTAATCAAATTATTGAAAATCACAATATATGACCAAGTGCAATATCTAAAGATGCTGCAATGTTTTGATGAAGGTAGATTGTGTGACAAACAGTTATAATGAAGTACTGTAGAGCTGCAGAGAAGCCCTGGTCTACAAACATTGTTCTCCGGATTTAAGAAAAAAAAATTCATGATGATTTTTTCAGTGAAAATGTAATTTGTGATGTAAAAATGATAATTTTCATCTGTCTAAATAATCACAATATGATGTTTTTACCATATCTGTGCAGCCCCACCTGTTTCACATCCATATTGGCCAAAACAAATAAAAAGGTTACAAAGGTTTTGGTTCACTGTTGGTTCAGTTTTGTAGTCGTTACAGCAGGATTAGTACAATTCTATGCCCCAAAACACATTCAAAAGTTAGACCGAAAAATTCAACTTCACAAGTAACTTCATTAATCCAATTATTCAAGACCTGTCAAAATCATATTTAAGACACTTAAAGACATTTTAAGGCCTAAAAGATTAAGACCCTGCAGATACCTTGACATTGAAACATCCATTAATCATTAATGATAAACTTGTTCAAGCGAACACAATGTGATTAGTCCCAGCTGCACTTGGGTTGCAACTGACAACGAATGTACTCATTATTTACTCTATTAATCATTTGTCTTATTAATGTCAGCAAACACCAAAAATGGACCATCAGAGGAGGTTCTTCAGATGTCTTTTGTTCGACCCAACATATTCAGATGATATAAAATCCTCACATTGGAGAAGAACCGGATACTTTCAACCACTTTTGCAAAAATTATCACGTCAACAAATAAAATGAAAAACTATTTTGACAATTAATTGCAGCTCTAAACAGCTGAACCATACATTGAGCTTAACCTTCAATAATAGTAATAAAACAGGAACCACAAGTGTAGAAACACTATTTTCACATACTTTTATTTCCACGGTTCTCCTCTAGCATTTTTTTTTTTTTACATTATTATTTTTTTTTTTTTTACATAAGAACAGACTTATACACAGATATTGAAGCAGGGCAAAGGGGGTGAAGGGAAGGAGACGAAAACCATACAAAATGGTGTCTACTCAAGCACAACAAAATCTATGTGTATAAAATTGTGTGGGTTGTTCCACTGTGGAGGCACCAACCTCTACCTCAATTCTTTTTTCTTTTCTTTTTTTTTTTTTAAATAGATTAATAAAAATACAATCTTTTAAATGGACCTTTTTAAAGTGGACTGCAAAATTAAATATCTAGAGGCATTATGACTGGATCAATAATGCAGGAGAATGTGGGTCGATGGTGCCACGCAGGAAGGGAGAACTTGTGGCCAGGTTCAGAAGTGGAATCCCCCCCCAAAACAAAAACAAAACTAATTTCTCTTTTAAAAATGGCACACAGCAACTAGCGCTGGCTACTTTTCACCATATACTTGTACACTCAACATGATCAACAACGGCACACACTGGGGAAGGAGAAAAAAAAAAGATGAAAACAAAAACACAGTCTTGTGTACTTTTCCATACATTCCCATTCGCCTGCCTTCAAAAAACATTTGCTCTCCGTGCTGTAGTGCTTCCTTTGTTAGACATGTTTTAGTGGAGAGAGCAAAGGGAAAAGGAAATACAGATAAAAAGTGTGTGTGTGTGTGTGTGTGTGTGTGTGTGTGTGTTTGAAAGGTGAGGGGGGTAGAGAGCAGCGTTGTGACAGTGGTAGGGATGGGGGGCCCCATGCTGAAACATGGCGCACAATCCGTTTAACACATACAGGTCTGTTAGCAGAACGTCGCGTGGATCGGGCAGAACTTCCTACAGTCTGCCGCCGGGAAAAAACAGACCGACCTCGACGGCAAGTTCCACGCCGCCTCACTTCTCTCGCAGCAGCCACAACTCCCGCCGAGGAAGCTGTGACTCATAAATACTCAATCTACGGATACCTAGCTAGAACATTTGTCACTCTTGCATAACACGGAGACCACAAACACACATACAAACCACCTATGTGTATCTCAGTTGATGACTTCACAGTCCACTATGACCACACATCTCCATTAGGTGGCGCTTCACCAGACTGATCGTCAATTCTCCAGTTTCGAAGCAGCACGGGGGGGAGAGGAGGTAACTGGAGGGTGATGAGGGGAGGAGGGGAAAAGGGGACAGCCCTCCTGGAGTCACAGAGCTCGGGAATGTTGGTGTGCCTTCTGTTTATTTTGTTTGTTTTTTTAAAAATAGTGTATCGTTTCAAATCACAGATCCATTGATTAACCTGGCTGAGGTGGAGCGGGGGCCCCCTTGTTCTGAGGAACCAACATGGCCACCCTTCGCTCGAGTCAGGGAGGCCAGTTTTACCAATAGCCCCCCCCACCAGCAGCACCGTGGTCTGCTCTGAGGCCCCTGGCTGTCTGCCTGCCTGCTGGCCTTCCTGCCTGGCGGCGGGTTAAGCGGTTATCTTGGACTTGGAGGATGGAGCCATGCACAGAGTGGCCTGTGGGGTATGTGGAGAGAGCCTGGAGCTAGAGGCGCCTGGGACCCTGTCATCTGTTGGCTGGAAAGTAGTTAGGGTCCAGGTAGTTGTAGCCTGTGCTCTGCGGCAGGCAGTAGTCCCTGTCCAGAAAGGTGTCTGTCTGGTGCACCGGTTCCAAGTGGTGGTTAGGCTTGTGGGTTTCTGTCTTGAACAAGCTGGAAGACGAGAAGGGAAAAACAGGAAAATGTTGTCAGTGTAAGGAGCCGCTGGCAGATTAACAATCCTGTAGTAACGTGGTAAATGTCAGAAAGAGCAGCTCAACTATTTCACTTCAAAATAAACACCTGCTGCGGTACCGTATTTATTATCTATAACCCTTCACAAGATATCACAGAGCACATGTTGGATTATAACTCAGTATGTCACAGCACTTAAAATAAATAAAACGACACAATTGTACTAATGATAGAGCCATGAATTTTTCAATGATTCTGTATCAGCTGAAAATCCTTCCTTACTGTATTCTATGTTTTTTACTATGTTTTGTCCACCTCAGGCTGCACTACTGCTTCACCACACAAGTGAAAGTGATGTTGATTATTCGTGACTCTTCAGACACGGTGTTTGGCGAAATACAAAGCTAACAAATATATGTTATATCTCAGTGCACAATACATTCAAGCAGCAGCTTCTGATTTTAAGCCGGTTCTGAACTTTGCCTTTGCCAGTTAAAATGATAAATGTCACTGGCAGAACGTCATATCAGCTGTCGCTAATTAATGTTAGTGACAGCTGATATGACGGGCCAAAATTAAACATGTGTGTTGTCTGGTTAAAGTGCTCTCTCGTTAGTGAGTGAAGAACCTCCACACCGGTGCACAATCACGAGTAGGCTGAACTTTTCTGTGGTTCTAAATAGGGCTTCATGATATGATAAAAACATCATATACAGATACTGCAGCTGTGATATGATTCACGATTAGTGTGGAAATGATGCATCACCAATTTAATTTTCACTGAATAATATTAAAATCATGATGTGAAAGTTTTGGCGTTTGTACCAAACAAACATGTTTTCTTAAATCTAGAGAATGTGAATACACACAAACTAAAGTACAACTTTTGCAATTTGGATATTGCACTTGTGATTGTTGTTGATAATATTTTAATTAATTGTGCAGCCCTAGTTTCAACAACTGAGTGAGACGTCTTTGATTGCATCACGTCAGTTTCAGGAGTCACAGTCTAACATTTAAACTTTTCATATCAGATCAATAATTTTACCAACTGAATAGTTCTGAATATTCAGTATTTAGATAAAGTGCAGCAACTGTAGTAGCTTCAGCTGTTTTTTAATGTGCCGGATACATATCTAATCTTCATTTAGGTAAATATTGTATCAGATCAGACTCAGATCAGGATCTGGGCGAAAAAAAAACTTGATCAAGATATGTTTATGGAAAGTCTATTAAAAACTGTTTATGTATACAAAAGAAATGCTTATTTTTGGTCAATCCAGTAAATTTAATACCTGACAAATAAAGGTTCATCACCACATACTCATACAACTCATAAAACTCAAAAATCCCTCACTGCCATAAAGCAATTTGATACTACAGTATCAAACTATGAAAAAAACAAATTAATATTATCTTATGATATATATATATATATATCAACATTTCATCCAACCCCAACTACCAGTTCTGTATGTGGGAGATTTATTCCCGTGAGAGAGGTGGAGGAGCTCACCAGTCGGAGCAGTTGGAGCAGAAATCGACTGAGTTGTCCTGCGGACAATCCTGACAGTGCCACCTCACTCCCTGGATGGGCTCCATGCCGCAGACGTCACACTGCACAAAAAACAAACAAACACAGAGATAACATCTTCAGAACACAATTTGGGAACAGTTTTAAAACTATTAAATGCTGATGAAATCTGTCTTTGATGGACTGCATATTACAGTCATCAAAAAACACTGATTTCTTTGGGACAGTAACATTTGAAAGTGTAAGGAAGTAGTTCAGATGAGGTAATACTACAGTAACACTCTAAAGTAAAGTAATGTCAAATCAAGCTGCAAATCCAAGCTTGAAAGGGCCACAAATAAAAATAAATTATGCATTTTCAAAGATTTAGTTGTTTTTATTTCGAAGCTGTAGCCAGAGGCAATTGGTTTTATACCATTTCACATCCTCCTCTATGTTTGTTGCATACTGCTTTGTGGGATAACGGCCTATAAGCACATACTTTAAAGTTGAGCAGTCCTAAAGTGGATGCTGTCCTGCTGTTTTTTAATCACACCGTGAAAATCGGTGTATTGGAAGACAAACTTTGTCCCTGTTGACCAACTTGCAGGATAATCCCTCTGACTCAGGATGGGATTTCATAACCCCTCATACAGTGAGGGCACATGTATATGTAGAAGCCTGGCTTTAATGCTGTCAGTGCGTCGTACACAAGTCTTCACCTTGTAGCCGACGTGCCGCCCCCCGACCTTGTCCTCTCGGATCTCCTGGAGCGTCTGTTTTTTCAGTCGCTTCAGCTCTAAAAGCTCTTTGTACTCTGGCAAATTTCTCAACTCCACAGGAATAGCCTCCTCATCCTGCGTGTGAGGGAAGAAAGACAAACACACACACACACACACACATAAATAAAACATGTTCAAACTGAAAGAAACTGACAGAGAGGAGATGACTGACAGGCGTCAATGCATGCTAAGAGAAAACATCTCTACATGACTCCAGGGATTTGATGATCACATTCTCTAGATGTTTTATGCCATGCAGACAAATTTACTGCAACTATTGATCAGTATAATTTTGGCTGAACAAGAGCAACGTATCCATAAACACCAATCTAGGTTTTCTTCTGTATTGGGAGTAATGTTGCAGCAAGCAGAGATTGTCTTTCAGCTGAAAGTACACGAGTGCAAACGTCTGTCTCCTTCACAAAGACGCCTAATGTCTGCTAGCTCCGAGCCTATTAACCTCCACCGTCTTATAGAGTAGAAAAATACAACCTTCAGAAATTTTAAAAAAATGGCAAAGTGCAACATTTTATTTTCGATAAAAGTATCAGTCGACCTTTCAGGTCTTGACAAGAAATGGCACTGTGAGAATCCCACTAAGCTGCCGGCACATTTTCCCTCAGCAGACCCTCATTCCTTTCAGCAAACTCAGCCAAAGTAAGGGGCAAGCTGGTGAAGTGAGAAATTACTGTGGCCCATGCTGGCAACACCTTTGTGACGTTTGCTTCAGAGGTTTTGTTAACACGCTGGTGGAGCCGGCAGCCTGTGTTCTCAGCAGGGCACGGCGACCCGGTTTTACTTAAAGGTTACTGCCATCAAAGGGGGAGAAACAAAATGTCAGCGCTTGGGTAACGGCGAGCATCAGGAGTTGCACAGTTCAAATGGAAATACAGGCGAGGCAGGCCAGGCCCCCTGCTCTGATTTAACCGTTCTCAACAGTAAGCGTTATCATGCAGCTTTTCACTGTCTTTATCTTACAGGTTACTGCTTACAAGAGGAGCAGAGGGAAAGACTCTGGACTGTGAGAAAGAGGAGGAAATGTGAGCTTGTGATTAGCTTAATTAAGCAGCAAAGTACAACTGTCTGGTCGGTGATCAGTGACACGAAAAAGTCGGGGGAACAGTATCAGTTACAAGATAATCTCCTAGAGACAAATCAATGGGCGAGGCATGTGTGCACAAAGAAACCTATTTAAAAATAAAGAAAGTGCATCGTGGCGTCGGGTTGTTCGTGTTCTGTGTTACAGAAGACTGACCGAGTCATCAGCGGAGGGGTCCTGCACGCCGCTGTAATACGCCGAGCGCTCGTCCTCTTCATCCATGTAGACCGGAGGCTCATAGGAGGTCAGGAAAGTAGACGGCCGGTACAGGTGCTTGTTAAGGTGGTGCTGCCTCTTACTGGATGCCTGAGGAACAAACAGGTACAGTTACAACAGCAGGCAGTTTCAAACATAGCCCCATTAACATGCACTCTTATATAATTTCATACACGTCAAAACAATAGCAATTACTACAATATAGGTGAAATCAATATCATATTAAAAAGTGTACTTTCTACTTTCCAATATCATTATATCTTTGTTTATGTACTTGTTTCTGGGAGTCAAAATGATGACAATATTTGAAATATATCTCATCAGGCCTACGTTGGCACCAGTGTATGTTGGAGAAAAGTTTGTTTTGTGTATATTTTTACATATTAAGTCCAAATTTTCTTAATGACCAAAGTGTTTATGTTAAAACACAAATAAAAAATTATAATTTATTTTTGTATAAGTGATATTCCTACACAAGATCACAACTTTATTCCACTCAAAATACAACAACGTCCTGGTTGATGTCCGGTCTCTGGAGACTTTTTTTTTAAATGTGAGGAAGAAACTATATCTCGCTACAGCTGTTTACATTCCCCCAGACACAAATTCAAAAAATACACTGCATAATTAATTCCTGGGTGTAAATGTGTACGTATATACGTATATATATAACTGCAAACAATGTTTTTGTACAGCCTTGTGTTGTGTATAATGATGAATACATTTCCTTGATCAACAACTGCACAGTGCGTACCAAAAGACACTTCACATTCATGAAGAAGAGCATTTGTTCAAATGACTCATACTAATAAGCAATATAACTCAGTATTGTTAAGAGGTTTGGTAAATACCTTTTTTGTGTACATGCAGAGGTTGGGTGTTCTTCCAGGCACAGGGATACCAGCTTTTGTCAGTTTGATGAAGTACTTTTGAACCCTACTGGCAACCTTGAATGTTTTAACAGGAAAATGGCTGCGTTAATGATTTCCAACTGAGGAACAGCTGCTTGAAGTAATTGAGGTCAAGCAAATGTGCGATCCAGGTACTTGCAGGGGGTGCAGTTAACACACAAAGTCGGCCTCTGCCTTTTAGCACTACAAAGTGTACACTCATTTAACCGTATGTTTCCATAGTAAAGGCTGATGTATCAATGACAGTAATAAAAACATAAGTAGACAGTGGTACAATCGGTTCAAAGACAACTGAATATATATGTTGTCTGGCTGGAAACATACAATTTTAGCTGAGTCGGTTTTTGTCATCTTGAAATTTGTTGCTTCTCACCTGCAAATTCTGTAATATTTTGTGTTTTCATAATTTTCAAATGTGCAAATAAACCAAATGTTCTGAACTGAGCAGGTAGTAAGTGTGGATCATTTTTTTCAGTTAATCTCTCAGTCACCTGTTTTGCTGTTCGATTGCCCAACTCATCAGCAATCTTCTGCCATCTTCTAGACTCTACTTCCTCGGGAGGAAATTTAACAAGAAGCTGCTCCAGTTTTTTCTATAAAAAAAAACAGATAAAACAGGTGAAAACCAAGTAATGACAAATATCTTTACTGCATAAATAACGGTACATTAGTGATTAATGTATCCAATACGCTTTTATCAAAAACCAGATATACACCATTCATAAACAGACAATGAAACTAGTGGGTAGAAACAATTTATTACACATTTAGGTTGCTTATTTAAAAAAAGGAATATAAATCTAAGTCTCATTTCACAGATTGCTAATAGCTGCTGTATATTTTAGACATTTAATAAAACAGAATATTTTTCTAAAAAAGGTAAGTGAGTGAGGTGTTATGGGAAAACAAACATTTTTAATACTCCTGTGATCAAGTGTTCCTGCACACACTTGGTTATTTACTTGGGTTATTTGCATTCTGAATACAGTGCAACATCTTACACACTCGCCACCTACCTGCTCCTCCACAGTCCACAGCTGGTTAAACGTGTCAGGCTTGTTTGGGTGACAAATCCTCCCCCTGATCATCTGTTAAGAAAACACAAGTGACAGCTATGTTAAATGACTGAGATGTTACAAAAAATAATGGGCACTGCAGTCTTTGACGAGATCTGTGCATATAAAGTGCCTGGCACACTGAATCTATCAGTTTGACAGACAAAGATGCAACTCGAGATGTGTCACTGGGAATACGCCGAAAAACAGCAACGCTTTTGACTGACAAACAAAATCCTTTTAGAATTCAGAGAGTGTATTACGGGAGTATGCAAATGTATTTGTACAATATAAACAGGGAGAACAACAGGCATAATCAAGGAATTGTTTGCTTGGCGCTGTCTAATCCCAACAATCAATTAAAAGTGAAACCTTATTGCCCATACGATGTAGGAAAAGACCCACTCACACATAAACAACAGAGGCCAAAAATAAAACCTAATCAGAGGTGTGGGAGCGGCGGGCTCCTCATGTTTCCATAGATACCATGTTTTGTGCTCACGTGTGCTGCACGCTTAACTCTGCTGCAGAATAAGAATGGGGGAGATGAGGTTGGAGCAAGCCAAGCATTGTAAAATGGTAATAACCTGATGATTTGTAGGCCAACCTGCAGGAGAACGGTGACTCACCGGCTACAGTTAACAACGGATGCATCTGCACTAATTGTATACTGGGAAACAATTACAGCTGTGAGGACAGCAACAAAGATTATTTTAGTATGGAGGCAGAGACATACCTGCGCTTGCCTGCCGTTCTCTGGTGCATCACTGGTCGGCAGAGAGGAGTACATGGTGGAGGATTCGCCTTCCTTCTTGGGCTCCACGGGACTTTTTGGTCGATCGGGCAAACCTGAGGAGAGGAAATGGGCAGAATTAGTCATTTTAAATGTCTGAAGAATCTCAGTGGTGTTTATTTTGATTTAATAGCAAGATAACGACAAAATGTATACGTGCCTTTGTCGAAGATCAGCTTTAACCGCCTGGTTTTGCGTTTCTTGTCGCAGAACTCTCTCTCAAAGTCACCGAGGCCTGAGGTGTACTGCTCCCACGCAATGTCAGGGAGCTGGACGACTCGCTGAGGACACGGCAAACCCAAATTCACCTGAGGAAGAATTGGGGGTCACAACAACATAAATTAAAACAGGGTACTGTAAGACAAAGTCTTACTACTTTTGTTGGGTATGCCTATGGTTTGCAATCTGTGCTTTTAAGTCCAGTCATTGCTTAAAATAATTCAAGTTGGCCCACATAGTCATTCTAAAGATTTTTCCAAAAACCTCCCTCAACCAGAGATTTCTAGTGATTCCTATATCTAGATTAAAGAGATGGGATGATCCAACGTTTGCGGTGTAGGGCCTCTATCTTCATAGTGAGCTTCACTAAAGGTATCACCACATGATTTCACAATATAACTCTATGTGCAAACAAATTGTATAATTCTCATGAGTAAAAAACAGGTTTTTGCTTCAACACCTGCTGCAGTTGTTCTGGTTGTATTTAGTGTTCACATTTACCTGACTGCACATAATAAATTAATTTACCATGACATTTTATTGAGTAAGTAAAAATGTAGAAGCGGTGGACAGTGTGCACATCCTGGCCCAGTTGTGAACAGGTGCAGAACAAAGTCACAGTGATATGATAGAAAGGGAGCAATAGTCTACACAATGGATTTTACAAGCTCCCAAATATTTAGTCAAGCAACATTTCTACCAGCAAGGTATTCCTCAGGCAGAAACAGGAACAAGATCTTATGTCCCATGTCTCAGAGATGAGTTTATGCTGAGTAAATTACTACATGTTAACTTATAAATAAGCACACTGTGTTTTCACACTTTATACAATTCATGTGCACAGGGTGTTTGTTATGCACTTTAAAATAAATAAATTGCAGCCCTACCATAAGATCTATCTTCACAACACTCACAATGTTCTGTTTTTGAGGTCACTGTTGGGAAGTATTCAGTATAAATTTATTATTCAAGTCATAGTTAAAGGTGGTGTGCTGGACTACCTTTATATGGAGGTATCTAAAATGTTTTGTCCTTATTATTTATAAACATGAGGATGAGGACATGAGAATATAATGCTGTCCAGTACAACACAAACCAACCAACTATGACTCAGTGCTAAAACAAATAATTTAATTAACACCTCTATGACAGTGTCAACAAAAAAACGGACTAAAGTGGACACCGCAGTGTAGTTAAAATACCAGGACACAGGTCTGTATGTTTGTTACCTGTTTCTGCAGCTGCTCCACAAAGCTGATGGGATCAGCGAGCGCCTCCCTCTGGTGACGCGCCAACGTCTCCAGGTCCAGGATGGCCTGCGTGCGCTGGGCCTCGAGAACTCCGATGGTCTGCAGCAGCCTCTGATAACTGACACGAAAGGGAAGCGAGGTTAGACAACGGTGGAAGGAATGGACCGCTTACATTATTTAACCTGACACTTCCAATGCTGCAGTGCATCAAAGTTTTAGACCCCAGACCATGCATAATTCAACCATGATGCCTAAATACTTGCACAAGACACGAGCCACTCGCCAATCCTTTGCACCTATTTTGTAAATAACGTGTTTAGAGGCGTTTGTGTGTGCTAGACATCTTGGCTGGAAATAATGCATGTCAAGCCAGCTGCTTTGGCAAATATCTAACTCCTTTAGAGCTACTTTTGTAGTGTAGTCCATCAAGTACTGTAGCTGGGAAATAAATGTTCAAATGGAAAAGAGTTATTTTCTCTTTTCTTTTCTTCAGCAATTCTCTGATCTGTAACTGTGCACATTGTTCAGCTTTCATAGCCATATCGAAACCTTTGCACGACAAAACACTTGGTTTTTGCTGTGCTTGAGGAGCCTTCTGCACTGTAGAAGTCTGACCTTTCCACTCACACCCTCTGGGGCAACAGGAGAACTGCAAACTGAGCTGTCAATGACTAAGTGTGGTAGTGACTCACAGGCCTTACAGTGTGAGCAGAGTTGGAGAAATCGACACAAACGTGACAGCATCCTACAGGGCTATAAACTAATGCAGGTGCTCACTGAAGCAGAGTGGATCAATCTCCCCTAACAGCACATGAATGAAAATCAATGCACAGGACACTATTTATTCAACAGCTGCCGGTGGTTTGAAAATCCTCCAAGCAAAATGTTCGAACAAGTCCACTGTGTTTAACCTCATATCCCTTCATTAGTTACAGACACAATTCCTTTTACACTATGTGAAGCTCTGCTGATCATGTACAGCGTCCAAGAGTAACTGTGCTTCAATGCAAACTGTAAATCTGCCTACAGTGATTCTGATTCAAGATCTCTGCGAGGGAAAGCAGCAAGCGTGTTGACTTCCTCACATGAACAGATGATCTGTGCATTAATCTGTTTTAGGGAAATGAGGAGGACTTGGCTCTGCTTCTGAGCAATGGATTCCCGCCAGGTGTCCAGGGACAAGCCTGGTGTTCCATTGCCACCTACTGGGCCTAAGGTCCACTGACATACACTGGTGCCAAATGAAAAGCTGGCCAGGACAATAGTGTTGCTATGTTAATCCCTGATATTCAAGGGCAAGGGTTTGAATTTCTTTCAATATTTACATGATATAGGCAGAGGGTACACATTATTAATCATGTCAATGCCAAATCAACATTCAGCAACCCTAAAATGCCTAGTCATGCTTCCCTAAAAAATGACTCCTCACTGTATTGATCTGAGCCTTCAAAAATTATCCTTACTCGGCACAACCTAAAACTTGGCATGATCGAATTGCCTTGCAATATGAGAGCAGTGAAATCTTATTCTAAGGCCATGCTCCAAATTTGAAACATTCACCAATACTGGCGTCAAAGACAAAAAGGGACCTCAGCCTATGATGTCTTCAAAGTCCCTACAGCCCTCTGCCCCTCCTCCTATGACGATGCATCATAAATCAGCTGACCTGCCCACAGTGCAGTTAGCAGTGGCTGACTGGGCGCAGCGTGGGGCCTGTCCACCAACATCAACATCCCATCTTGCATGACAACTGACAACAACACTAGGAACGACGCTCCGGCCACTGAAAAATCCTTTTCCTCTAAAAACAACTCATCTTACTGAGAAAAGAGAGAACAGAGGCAATCAGCAGAGTCATTTTAACATCCAATCTCTGTGGGCTTTGACAAGTGGCAGCTAATTCACACAATTGCAGCAGCCGATTGGAAGGTGGAAATTAAATGCTGAGACACGTAAAACCTGAACAATAAGACAGGAGCTCACCGATGTTCCCATAATAACTAAAAGAAAGACACTAAATATAACTGAGTTAATTAAACATTCTGTCTATGCATTGGTGGTGTTAAAAACCCAGATACACTTAAATAAGTAAGTGGTGGGAGTGTCTGCTAACCAAAGAGGCTAAAAATATATCCTCCGTTATATATTTACATGGAAACTGTATTTACATGGTGCCATCGCCACAAGTTAGTATAAAATAAACTTCAACTACAAGAACCCTCTAGATCATAGCCAGGATAAAGTTAAGCCCAAAATTGTCAACAATCACAGGGTGGAAAGATAAATCTAAAGGGGGTTTTGAGGGCAAGAAAGAAGATAAATTGTCCTTTTTTTCTGACTTCTCTCTAATCTTTGCTTATTTCTTGTGAAATACTGGAAAGTTTAACCTCTTATCTTAAATTAAACAATCATAAAACCTGTGGGAAGTGTTCACAACAAGACACAGGGACAAAAAGGTTTGAGAATTACTGATGCAACCTAAATAATTATCACACACAAGTATAGTCAATAATGTTTTGGACACAATAAGACATATTTAACACTAAGACTAAACAAAAAAATACTTTTTACAATATTCAGCACCTTCAAAACATCCATATAAATCCTCTTCAACACAAAAGTACCCCTGGTTCATTCAGAACCAAAGAGCAGAAGTAACAATGATCACAGAATAAAGTGATCAACATGTGTGAGAGCTACATCAATAAAAGAAGAGGAGAGAGCAGAATCCCCAGGGAGCTTCCACATACTCTTTGTTGTGTTTAAGAGCCAGGTGGTCTGACTCAAAGTAATACACGTCTGGCTCCTCCTCTTCCTCCTCCTCCTCCTCTGCAGCCTGGCTCCGCGTCAGCTCCTTGCTCCTCTCTGCCTCTTTCCCCTCCACAGGCACACCTTCCTCGTCACCCGCCCTGTCCCCCGGATCCACGGAGACCGGCTCCTCACTGGAGGGGCCAACAGAGTCTGAGGGAGCAGGTTCCTCCACCACAGGGCAGTCCTCCTCCAGCCCAACAACCACCTCCCCCTCTTCCCTCAAGGGACCATTGTCTCTGGGAGGAGAGCTGAGCATGTAGGAGGAGGCCTTGCCACCAGTGGCAGCCCTCCTGGGTGAAGTTCGCAGGGTGTATCTGTGTTCGTATAGCTCTGTGAAAGAGGGGGGCGTGCTGGATATTGAGGGGTTACACCCTGGCTCTGTGGGGGAGGGGGTTGTTGCTAGTGGGGGTGTTGTTTCTCCTGAGTTGCTGTTGTTGTTGTTGATTGGACTACTGTTCATGTTGGTGGTAGCGGAGGAGGTGGATGCAGCAGCTTCCTGCACTGGTGTTAGCGGCCGGCCGTTGGCGTCGTTGTCAGTCTCCGTCACCTGCTCCTCGTGGGCCAGACACAGCGGGTCACCCACCACGTCAACCTCCACCTCCTCCACCTCCTGCTCCTTGGCCACTATCAACTCAGGGACAGGATCCTCTGGAACAGCCTCAAATGTCGGCACAGATGAGGCTGGCGATTCCCCTGAGCCAGAGACCTCCATCTGCACAGGGACAGAGTTTCTACAAGGCACAGTGGGGTCAGGGGATGAGGGAGCCCCCGTCTGACTACCGTTGAGCAGCGACGGGCAGTTGGTGGCAGAGGTGGGGTTTGCACTGGGCTCTTCAATGAGTGTGCTAGGTTCCTCTGCTTTATTCTCTCTGAGTCCATTAGAGGCCTTGTGAGCATTCGGGGGCTGAGCTGCCCCGTCACACTCCACATGACCATCCTCTGCCTTCCCCCCTGTCAGCTCACCTTCCTCTTTACTGAGGACAGGTGAGGCAGGAGCTGTGTTGGCAGAGTTTTGGCTGGGAAATTCTTCACAACTGTTGTCCTTGCTAGGCTCTGGGACAGAGACTGGACTTTCAGGTTTCAAAAGCTCAGGGTCCTCCTCGTGTCCCTGAGACTCTCCAGAGCGGGAGCACCGCTTGGCCCTTTTAATTTGAGGACAGGCATCTCGCACCCCCTTCCCTCTATCACAGTTCTCGGACTTCTCAGGACTAATGTCTTTTTCTACACAGGACACACCCCGCTTCCTGGAGCTGGTCCATTGCTCCGCCTCAGCTGGAGGAGCGTTCGAGTCAGTTACCTTTCCCTGTAACGAGGCCTGCTGCTGGCCATCCGGCTGCTGAGTGTCCTGCTTTGACTCCTGCTTGACGTCCTGTTTCGATTCCTGCTTGACGTCCTGCTTTGACTCCTGCTTGACGTCCTGTTTCGATTCCTGCTTGGCGTCCTGTTTCGACTCCTGCTTGGCGTCCTGTTTCGACTCCTGCTTGGCGTCCTGCTTGGATTCCTGCTTGGCGTCCTGTTTCGACTCCTGCTTGGATTCCTGCTTCTTCTTGGGGGAGCGGGCCCTTGGTAGCGGAGACACCGACGTCTCCTCCGGCTGGGCGATGCTGCGGTTCCTGAGGGTTCGACCACAAAAGTTCTCATCCAATCCATTGAGCCCCACTGACGACCTTGTGACGCGTGAGGAACGGGACGCGGCCATACTACGGCGGGTGCCTACAGTCTCATCATCCTGGTGCTCTCTCCTCTGCAGCAGAATGTGGGCACCTGCAAAACACACACAGACAGATAACATGCACTTCATTAAGTCAAGATAATCACTAAAAAGGTTGAACCTTTTACAACTCCATGGTTACACCGCAGCACTATCTTTGCAGCGGCTATAGGTGTGATTGGTTTCACTGGCCAGTCATGATAAAAATTAATGCATGAACAGTACCCGGGGGTGTTTCAAACAAAAGCGGTCGCCAAAAGGCCTTTACTAAATGCCGCTCTGGTCATTTCTCAGCTCACACCAGAGAGGTATTGATTTCTCCTGTCATTGTAGCTAAGCAACACCTTCTGTCCACAAGCACGAGATGTCTTCCCCGGTCTGTACAAATTACAGACCTTCCACCTACATTTAAAAAAGGTGGAAGATCTTATACTTAGCAGAAGATAAAATAGGAAACAATAAGGTCAGATCTTCCATGCATCCTAAATGACCAATCACATCGTCTCCTCTGCCACTTCACAAATGTCACAGCTTTGAGGCTCATCTGTATGTGCTAGGTAACTCTAAGAGATAAAGGTGACTACAGCGTAGCAAGCATTTTAAGTAATGAAAAGCCCCCAAAGCTGGCAGGCAGATAATTTAAAGAAAACTGCATTAAAACAAAAAAAAATTATCGAATAAACAAGCCATCGTACAGAATTGTGTGTATGTTTCAGTGAGGGCATATTTATTTCTTCCCTGCAGAGATTACTGCTTATTCTGTCACACAAAAAAATAAATATGGCTTACTGGTTGACTGATTTCTGACACAGAAGATACACTGTACATTCTCTCAGCCAATTCAGCAGAGATAACGCTGCAGACATAGGTTTGTCATCATACACTGAAGGCAGTTTATCTCTTTATAACAGGTGTGCCAGAGGACCAACAGGCTGCAATCCATCCACAACTTATCAGAACGTACAAAAAAAAACCTAAAATGCTCTGACAACAAGAATCCCACACCCAGGCTTACAGGCTTAAAGTGTGGACAACCATAAAAGCTTAGGACATGACGATTCACTTCCTGACACATTTTAAGGCACAACAAAGCCTTCCCAAGCACGCTCTGTGTGTTGCCTGAGGTATCCCGCAGATGAAGTACATTACTGTGCGGCGGAACAGAAATCCTGGCTTACTGTGTGAACTGGAAAATGAATACAGTCCAAATGCTACCAGGCAGGCACTAATAAGCACTCAATCTTGGATATCTTAGTCTATACTATATAATACATTTCACAGATAGCAGATAATGTCATGGACTACAAATTCTAATGTAATCTAGGTCAGACAAGCCATCATTTCACTCATAGGAAACACCTTTACCTTACACACATTTATCTCACTGAGGCAAACATTACTTGATACACAAAGCCGGGATGCACTGTGTGTTCTGAGACCTTTCTATCAGAACCAGCAGTCCACTTTTTGAGCAGTTTGAGCTACAGTAGCTGGTCTGATGGATCAGACCACACAGGGCCAGCCTTTGCTCCCCACGTGTCAAAGTTACTCAAATCCTCACGCTGCCCATTTTTCCTGTTTCTAACACATCAACTTTGAGGACAAAATGTTCACTTGCTGGCTAACACTGACAGGTGCCATGATAACGAGCTGAGTGTTATTCACTCAGTGGTCATAATGTTATGGCTGATCTTTATCTATAGCCAGTTTATTCTGCACATATCATACAGGTCGTGGAGTAAAGTGGCTACAAGGCAATGTGTTTGAAAAAAGAAATAGAAAACACCACATGGCTGGTGGTCACGGAGGAATAAATCAAAATAGCAAAGTAGCTTTCACACAGAAATATCACCTCAAGTAACAGTACATTAAGGTTGCTTTGGAAATTCATCAACGATAAGGAACAATAAACAGAGCTGCTTCATTTTCCTGACATTAAAGCAGAAATTATACTTTTTGCGGGTACACGAGGATCCGCTTGGGTCCAAGTCACGTAAATGTTATCATCACAGGGTTCACGCGTAAGGTCCGTGCGGGCAGCCGCATACCGTACTGTCAACACGGCCATTACACTGTAGGGAACACGTCCTCCAAGAGAACCCTATAAACAGAACGACTATGCAGTCGTGTCCGCAGATGTCTGTGTGCACATCTGTTTGGGAGCACATCTGAGTCTCGACTCCACAATCAAAACAACTCGTTCTAGTGGACAAGTTTGCGACTGTAAACCTAATCATCATCAAGCTTTAATCTATACAGTAATTAGTAAGACAGTTATCTGTGTACATGTAGTTGATGAAAGTAAAGGGGGAGGCGCGGTTGAGATAACATCACACACACACATGCACAACTTGCCACTGAAGCACCCTCTAGATGATAGCTCCAAATAATAAATCTAACAACAGAGGACAATAAAAAGGGGAGCTGGTAAAGGTCATATTAAAGTGACATTCAGGGGGAGAACACTCACATGGTGTCCTTTTGCAGAAGATGAGACACAGTCATAGCAGGAGAGAAATGATTGCATCAATTAGCATTGTGGACATGGTGCTCATTTACATTAACTCCAAGTACATCAATCTGTGGGCCGACCTCTGTCAAAACTGATTTAAAAGCTCCTTGTTGCAAGCCCCTCCCTTTCCCCTACACTGTGCTAACACAGCAACATAAAGAAAACACTAACTCTGCCAAATAAATACATTTTGATGATATTCCTTCAGGGAGGTAACGTACTAGTCACCTGGAACAAGCGCTACCACATGCACATATTACTCACACTCCACTTAAGACTCCAGTTGAGAAAGCTAATGTGATTTGTCCATGCATAAAATAAGAGCGAGAAAGAAAGAAACACAGAAAAGGGGGAGCAGGTTATTCAGACTGAGCACTCACCCTTAGACTCAAATTGACTAAACTAATTAAGCCTTCTCATCTGACCTACTCTCAAAAACTAGAAAACTAATCACTACTTCAAAATTACAAGGGCTGCAGTTTAGCTGAATAACTATATTTAAAAAAAAAAACTGCAGACACTGTTTACTGTATGTTTAATGTATGTTTTGTATTTTGTTTGCTACTGGATACTTGAATTTCCCTCGGCATAAATAAAGTATCTATCTATCTATCTATCTATCTATCTATCTATCTATCTTATGTCCAAATAATGAACACATTAACTTGCTGGCAAGGCCTCAATTAATAATTAATCATTCAGTTGCCTGTTGGAAAAGAGTTTTGCGGCCATGAAACAATAAATGTTGTGAGTACTTTGAAGGTCTGACTCCACAATCCAAGCTTAGGCTGAAGCTAATATAAAACACGCCTGATAGAAGTGACTGGAATGACGTAAAATAGAAATCAAGTGGTTAAACAGTGTGTGGGATAGCTTGCTTTTTCTTTTTTTTTTTCCTCCAGCACACACTGTTACCAAGTAAATACACAAGAACTTTATTTTGGAGGGGCCACTCGTTAACACAACTCCTTAAATGAAACCATAAGTCACAACAGAGGTTAGTACAGTATAAACACAATGATCATTAAAATAGTAAAGGCCAGTGGTTCCATCATTTATCTGTTCTGACTTTTGCTCAAGTTTTAGTTTATTTCCTCATGAAATACTCTCAACTTAAAACTCATGTCAGCACTGAGGCCGTAATGTCTGACGAGGAGTTACAAGTGGACATTTCTCTGTTTTATGGGTCAAATGCCTAAAAGAAAAAAGGTTGTGAAGCACTGGATTAAACCCCAGACCAGCATTTGATTTACGTTTCGCTCTCTACTGTCGGGGCTCAGTTAGTGATCCGAACAGAAATGTTATATATTTTTGTAGGTGTCTTATGTGTCATATATAAACATTTAATATTAAAAAATATAAAAAGGTCCAGTGTTTAGGATTTAGAGGCATCTAGCAGTGTAGTCGAAGATTGCACCTCCCTCGCAGCACCCCACTATCCAGGAACCCTTCTGGGCTACTGTAGAAATATAATATATAATATAAAAGGCTTATTCTAAAGGTAACAAAAGCATAATAAATCCTATATTCAGGTGATTATACACCAATTAAAACAATGTTACGCGTACTGTATTCCATTAGTCCCAGTAGATCCTCCAAAAAAAAAGTGACAACTTCCATTAAATACAATAAAAAATGAGATTACAACCTCCCCTACCTTCAGTACAAACGCACTATTCAACAGTAGCAAAGGTTTGGAGCAAGTTAATCACAGCCTGAACACAATAAACTGTCACGTATCGCAACTGACTCTGACAAGGTGGCAGGTGTCAAAGCCCAGAGTGTGTTATTAGTCAGTGCAGCTACCTACACAGGACCCATGTGTGACTGCAATTCACAATAAAACCACTTCCTGTTCTGCACTAAAGCGCGAGTTTGGTTGTGAACTTGTGTGTTAACACGTGTTGACAACACTGCTATCACCACGACTGGCCAGTATTTAAAGAATGGGTCACTTACCATAAAGCTTTCATTGACATATTTTAAAAGAAACTCCCCCACACATGTAAACACACACCACACAAGCCAAATGTGAATGCTATTATTGGGTGAAACCAGCTAAACTAACCGTCCCACAACACAAGTTTCAGGGTGAGAATTTGTTGTTGTTGTTGTTGTCGTTTTAAGATGGTAAACAAACAAGCTTTGTGTTGTTTTACCGTCGTGTTGGACCGCTCATCTCTTGTTGCTGACCTGTAGTTCAACACTTCCTCTGGGAGTTGGGGGGGCAGTGGGGGGGCCTACTGGCAGCATTAGATCCACGGAGTGCTGTTTGGTACACATGCCGATGAGAAAACCTCAAAATCCCGACATCCCGAGCTAATCAGCAGCCGCGAGCTCAATATCGATAAAGTTGTAGTCGGCGAGGACGTCGTTTTAAAAAAAAAACTACACACGAAGACGAGGCTGCATGCAAGCACGTGTACGCCGGTTTAAGTTAACTGTAGTTTGCAGCAGGTGAACTCCGAAGTTGAGAGGGGGGGGTTGATAATATAAACTCCCCGAGAACAGGTTCAGTGGACAAAAACAACAAACAACAACAACAGAGTTGGTCCATGTAGCAGCCGAGCGAGCTAAAGCGTTAGCATGGACCAACTTCCAGGCAGTTAGCTTGCCGTTAGCTTGTTGGAGAGAGGGGGGGGCTAACCGTAGCACACTGAACTTACCGTTAGCTCTCGGGGCTAAATATAAAACATTAACACCGCAGCAGCAGACTGTTTCAACATATTCTCTCTAACGCTTTCTGTGACACCAAAACCAACAAGTACACTACAGTCTAACCAAGCCTGTTTTCGTGTCTCCCCCCTCCTCTCTCACCCTCTCTCTCTCTCTTCCCCCTCTTGTGAACGACTAGTTAGCCCGGGTGGCTAACGGTACCGTGGCTCGTTGTCCTCGGCGGTAGTTTTCCCGATCACTGCATCGAGCACAAAAACAACGGCGGCGGATTTCAGCTGCCGACGTTACAGCGCACTGACACCGGCTAACGCGCTAGCCAGAACTAGCTCGACAAACCGGTGCGGCCGTGAAAAGTCCACCAATAACGCGTTTTAACCGACGGACGGTCGGTCGGTCGGACGGTCGGTGGTGGGGGGGCAACCGCCGCTGCTGACGTTGTAGTTTCCACCGAGCTTTAACGTTTAAACTGCTTGCGCGCGGACAGACGCGGCTCGCTTAGCAACCGAGCGGTTTAACGGCAGTTGGTAACCAGTTAGCGGTTAGCAGCTAACGGCTAACGGCTAGCCGATTGTTCCGCGCATAAGTTTGCCCGATGTGTGTGTGTGTGTGTGTGTGTGTGTGTGTGTGTGTGTGTGTGTGTGTGTGTGTGTGTGTGTGTGTGTGTGTGTGTGTGTGTGTGCGCGGCCAACAATGCCGGTCCGAGGCGTCTTTTGGTGGGCTGTTAAAATCCAGGTTGTACCGCGAGCATCGAACCGGAGGCACACTTCTTAAAACAGCGGGGTTTTTTTTTTTTTATTTTTATTTTTTTCTCGGTTGTTGTTGTTAGCTCAAGAATTACACATACCTCACTTCCGTACATTTGCTGCACGTTCGGCCGCAGCCATGTTTTCAATCCAGTCAACTAGTCGGGGTGTGTGAGCCGAGTCCGCCGCGCTCGTCTAAATGCAACACTATACTGTACATTTTTTAGCCCCTGCCAAGAGTGCAGTCGGTCACACACTCTCGGTGGGGGGGGGTCACCTCGCGTTATTGATTACTATATATTGACTTTTTTTTTATGGTGGATAATACACAGCGTAATTCACTTTTCTCTCCTAATTGAGCCCCTTGTTCCTCATCCAATAACCATCAGTGACTAAATCAACAGGGGAGGAAGAGGAGGAGGAAGAGGAGGAGAGGGGGGGGGAGACCACAGTGTTCAACATGTTTTCATCAAGTTTTAATAGTGTCAGCCAGCAAAAGTCAGGATGGATCTTACTCAAGTGACATCCATAGGCAAAGAACTTACAGTACAGCTTTGTGTATATACCCTCTTTATCAGCCAACACATGAAGCAACACCATGCCCATACACAAAAATAATGCCTTTTTGATTCATTAGATTGCTGATGACAATGCTGATTAACATACTTGCAATATGCTTTCTGTAGCTGTACAATTTTAGTGAAGACAGATCCTGGATTGTGAATTTATCGTGCACATTTTATGAGCAGCTTTTTTTTTTTTTTCTTGCATTTACATGCAGTTTACATTGTGATGTTAAGACTGGGATCGAGTGTTAAAGCATGCATTCTTAACAGACTCTGCCTGCCACGTATTCTTTCCTACAAAAACAAAAATAATCTGTTGACATCGTATTAAATCACTCCCTTTCTGCGATAAATAACCAAGTGCTGAATCTTGACCAACATACTATCAGTACTGGTACATTCAAATACAAACCAGACATTTTTTGCGTGAGCATGCCAATTTGTACGTCTACAGAACAGTGCAAAACACAAAATTCATTCCTGAGACTAGTCAGTAATTAGTCCCTTCATAACCTTATGATTTTCATCACTTTTAAGTGTCACATTATGCTCTCTCTACCATTCATTGGACAATATTCTCTTACAACAGGAGAGAAAAAAAAAGAAAAATGTGTGATATATCTACAGCAAAATGTATTGTGATTCATCACTATCAGCAACACATGACACATGGACATTACAGTATGTGCTCGTTTGGTCAAGAAAAAAAAAAAAAAAGAAATATGGCATTCAGTGGAATTTTTAGCTGCACATAATTTAAATGCTCGGTTCTGAAAACAACCTGACACATGAATACTACAGTGCTAATAGAAATTTTAAGAGCTCTTTATACAGATTTGTACAACATAACAAACCTCTTCAGACATGTTAATTCCCTCTATCAGCTGTCAAAGGCTGGCATGTAGCAGGTAGAGATGAGGTCCTTTGCTTGAATGCTTTTGAAATAAAAGTCAAGTGCAAAATAAAAAGGCTTTTTTTTTCATTTCTTAAAATGTTTTCCGTTATCTTCTCCCTTCCCCCCAGAGTGCCTGATTAAACGGAGCGCGTCTCCACCTCGATCTTCTCCTCCGACTGCGACGATTCTGCTTCCTGGTGGCTGATGCTCGGCCGAACCGTCACGAGTGGACCGCCGCCGTAGATCGAGTGGAGGAAGTTCCACGTCTCTTCAGAGATCTGCCCCGAGTCAGCTCCTGAGGGGTCGGTGCAAACACACACAATTAAATATCACAATATATCTGCATAGTTCAAGATACTACTACAGTCCAGAAAGAAGGTATTTTATTGATCTACCCTGTATTAAATATAAAAAAATGTTTACAGTTTACTTAAGATTTGAATTTATTCTTTCTACAGCGTTAAAGTAGATAAATAATAATACAATATAATGATAATAATAATAACAGTACCTTGTTTGAGTGTTAAATGGCCGTTCTTGTTTACTGTAATCTTGGAATTATCAATGGGTCCCGGCGGGTCTTTAAGAGGAAGAAAGACAATTAGCTTCTTTTACAGAGACATACTCTCAACCCTAATTGTTTCAAAGAGCAGTGATGTTAAAATGTCAAATGTTTCTGTCACACTATGAAAAGCCACTTGTGCTCCCCACTTGCTACAGAGAGAAAACAAATATTAGAGGAGCAGAAGTCAGAGAAAAAAAGACATTTGCAGCAGTGCCAGATGTAAGTTGTTATAAATAGATATGACAATACAAAGCAAGGGAAGAAAAAAAAATAAAAAAAAGTGCAAGAAAACTGAAATATATTTTGACACTTCATTTTGCTGTAGCAGGAGGGAAACTTGACTCGGGGGACTAAAGCAAAACGCTTTGAAGATAAATCAAAAGAAGAAATGGGACTTCACAGTTTCCTTTGAGCAAGCTTTTGGTAACAAGAAGTGGGATCAGGATGTCCCATTTAAAACAATGTATGTGCCGCCTTCTCTCAACCATATAAATGTATAGACTCAATCATTTTATTCTTAAAGAGAAATTTACATCAAAACAGTCACAGCAGATTTTCTATATCGGATGGTGGAAAACATTCAGCCTTTTAATTAGACATTTAAACAGGCTTTTGGGGGGAGGAAGGGAAAGACTTCTGTCCAATTACCATTGTCTTTTCCTTTGACAAAGCCCTCCCACTCACGAAACCACTGCATGCTGATGCAGTATATGACCACTGGAGACTCCTCCTCCTGGAACGCCTTGTTCAGCTACAGAGCAGAGGGAGGAGGGGGGGAGGAAATGGGGGAGGAGTGAGCAGTAGAGACAAGAGGGAGGAGAAACACAGGAAAAGAAATTAAGTGAGGATGAAAGGATTGAGAGGAGAGGAGATGGAAAACCTAATCAATTCTCTCTGGTAGTTATTCCAATTAGAAGTCAGACTTAACCCCACACTGCACCAATTTCATCTTTCTTGGAAATGACACAATCCCGGTTCCTCTTATTTGACTGAGGCTGTGTCTTTCTCTCTCTCTCTCTCTCTCTCTCTCTCTCTCTCTCTCACACACACACATCTATCTGTCCTTCAGAGCAGCCATTGTGTGAGTGGGCAGACTGAGCGGGCAATAACAGCTGCATCTGTCCCAGTGCATTAATGATAAGGCTTTCATCAGACTCACACCTCTCATCTCCTGCTGGGGTGAAGAGCAGCAACACATGCAGCCTATCAACTGGTTCAATAGACAGGAGAATAAACCTATACACACCCATGAGTACTGGGCTGCACGGAGGCTCACAGACACATAATGCATTATCACTCACACCAAATCATTTCACTGTATCTGGCTTAAAGCTCCTTGCCGCTCGTGGGTCCTGCTGGTAAACATATGGTTCAAAGGCTCACCCTGACGAACATGTCCAGCTCCGACTTGCGCCGTTTCTCCAGTTTTTCTATCTCGATCTGGCACGTGTGGCAAACGTACAGGTGGTTGACAGCTGGTCCCCCTCCGTACCTGCAGGGAGCAGTCCACATTAATTCACACAGATGAAATTAACTCAACAAAAGGTAATGATACCGCAACTGTGAGTACACGGAGTAATGGGAGATCTGAAAATGTGTAAAGCCTCCAGCCGGTCTCTCAGTGGACCGGTCCACCATATGTACCTGCTGTAAAGGTGATCCCACACGTTCTGTGGCAGCATGACTACCAGGTCGTCGATGAATGTTGCTTTGTTTGGTGGCACACCTGATGAAACACGATGAAACACCCGTCAGACATCAACAGCGTAATGTTTTAAAGAGACGACACACCCAATGTACATCTGTTAATAATTAGTGTTGGAAACATTGTGACTGCTATTATGCACAAATCCAGTGTTTCCCCCTTTTTCCCCACCCCCAGTCCGTCTCATTAGAGTAGTTGTGGGGATCAGGACTCTGCAACGAGTCCCAAAATAAATCTGAGGGCTCACAAGATAACTGAAAGGATAAAAAAGAAGAAAAATCTGCACAACAAAATTGTTATTTTTCTCTCTTTTTTTTTTTTTTTTTTTAATAGTTTCACCTCTTCCAGTCTTTACAAAAAACCTTCCAATGAAAAACCAGAGACACTAAAGCTGTAATCTGTGACTGGAAATCACAAGTACATTGCCTCATTTAAGGGTTCCCAGGTCAACAACATTTAGAATCACCTCATTAGAGGACAAATGGCTTTTTTCCTTCAATTAGAGTATTCTTTCCTCGCCCTTGAAGCCAGACTACTCAATCCTACTGTGTTATTATATTTTGTTAATTATTTATATAATACAGCAAAACGTTACTAATTAAAAACTAAAATATATTAGTATCCTGAGTTGATAGGGAAGAATCGATTTGTTGGTGAATAGTAAAATTCTGTCTTCAGATCAGAGACAATTTACTACAGCAGAGAAAGATGTAGCAGTACAGGATAATGAACTGTATTATGAAAAGCAACGCGATATATAGCTATAGTGATAATCATCTGTATTAGTCATTCAATTCACTTTATATTCCAATAATTGAATATGTATTATCTAACATACAGAAAGTGAAAATAAATTGCAACATTTTTGGATTTCCGTTGAAAATCAAACTGGTGCAGCAACACAGTCGAGGTTTCCCCGCACTGATATTATCTCTTCTTACTGCATGTACCTGACGAGCCAGTTATTATGTGCTAGTAGAGGAAACAACCTGTGAGTGCTTATTTACAGATTGAAACACATTTTCTGCTGCCACTGAATCCTAACAGCTTGATCCTAAATGTTCATTGTATCCTACTTAACACTCAATTCCATAATTTCCCGTGCTCTCTGAATAGAGGGTGAATAAAGAGGGCTGAAAAGAAAGCAGCTTGATTGGCACAAACCCTTTTAGAATCCTTCCCTCTTCTCTGCTTGAATGAGAAAGAAGGATCGTCTGCACAAAGAGAAGTAAAACCCCCTTTTGATGTCTGCTATGTTGTGGAGGGAATAAAGCTAAGCAAAAGCTGCGTTAAAGAGACAGAAGAGCGCAGTGCTTGTGCAC